TACTCTTCCGATGCTGGATCCATACGGATGCGGTGGAAAGCTTGGCGAATATCAAGCTTGGTGTAAATTTTGGCACCTTGGAGGCGCGCCAGGGTCTCGTCGATCAAAGGGAGAGGATAACGATCCTTGCGAGTGAGAGCATTGAGCTTGCGGTAGTCGATACAAAATCTTAAACTTCCATTAGATTTCTTAACGAAGAGGACAGGAGCAGCGAAGGGAGCTTGGCTTGGCTCGATGAATCCTTTAGACAGATTATCGGTCAGATATCTTTTGACAACCTCTAATTCCTCAATAGACATTTTGTATAGTGGAGAATAGGTTAAAGATTCCTCAGCTCTATCTTCCAATTTGATCGAATGATCGTAAGAGCGATGAGGTGGTAGGATATCCGACTCTTGTTTGCTGAAAACATCTTCGAATTCGTGATATTTATCAGGAAGCGGAGGTTCATCGGGTTCTAACATAGCTAGGAGGGCTAAGGCTTTCGTGCTACGTTCTTTGGAAGAGCGTTTAAGGGCTTGTTCAAAGGTAGCAAGTTCATTATGGCGATCTTGTTCCTCATAGCGTTGATCGAGGAGGGTCTCAACCTCATGATAGGTACATGTAAATAACTGATCCTTTTCTGTAGATTTTAAAAGATATCGATTAAAGATATGTGCATCGATTGCAGCGATATCCAATATTGAAGGGGTATCCCATGATGAAATAGGGTAAGTTAAACGTGGTTTCCGAGGATAAGGTTGAGTGGGCTTAGGCGGAGTCTCAGGGCTTTTCAACAGTTTATTCATTCGAACAATATCTCTATTTAAAGACTTCTCGTGGGTATTCCCTCGCTTTGATGAAATGGTTGGGGCCAATGTTTCTAAAGCAATGGTATCATTGTGATCTGGTTGGCTCAGCTGGGGATCAATCAATGGAGTGGGTTCAATTGGATCGGATTGTTCGATTTGGTCGATTTGGTCGAAAGATTCAACCAAATTGATCTTTGGAGCTGCGATATCCTTTCCAAACTTCCGATCCCTTCGATCGGCATCGTATTGGTGATAACGATTGATAGTTTTCTGGATAGGGAGAGAGTTTCGAGGAATAGTGATATATCGCGAAAAAGAAACTGAAGGGGGGGTGCTTTCAGGCCACCTGAATTGTCGTCGGCGACAGTTCAACCAGATGTCATGGTAAGCTAACCATTGGCGTCCGAGAATAATACGATGACTTCCAAGTGGAAGTATCAAAAAAGGGGTTTTGCGTTGTATACGCTTGTCTATATGTAAATCAAAATAACTAACAAAAGAAATATCATATTTCCCAATAGTGCCATCGTATCCTTTAACAGATAGAGGTTTGGGAAGCTTGCGCGTTTTTGCTTTTGAGAGGAGGTCCAGATGTTTAACCGTAGCTGGATCCATGAAAGCATAACCATTTGCTCCAGAATCGATCAGGGCATCGAATTTTACTGCGATCCCATCACGTACCAACATGATAGGTACTGTGATATGGGGACCTCCAAGAAGGGTGCGTAAATCGAGTCCTGACATATCCTTTATGAATCCCATAAGCGAGACAGTGCTTATGGTTGACCTTTTTTTGATCGAGGGAGATCTTCCTCGGAGCTTGTGAATGTATCCAATGCATCTTCATATTTCTCACTATAGTCCTCATGGGCATCGAGAAGGGCGACCTCATCGACTTCGTTGAAGCTTACTACATTGGTCTCGCGAGAGGCAGAAGGTTGTCGATTGGATTGGATATTAGGGGTGTTGAATGTGCCGTGCTTAGGCAGGACAGCATTCGGAGGGATATTTCCTCGGGCGGCCGATGAAGCAGGAGGCGAACGGACAAATCCGGAGGTTCTGGATTGTTGTTGATCGGAGCGGAGTGTGGTTCCAGGGTTCTGAGTGCCAAGAGTTGGGGCTTTGGCCCTCTGATAATTGGGCCGGGCATCAAGTCGTTGTTGTGCGATATCAGAGTTCTGCAGGGCTCTAGCATATTCTCCGACTGTGCGTGCTTGATGGAATTCTTGTTTGTTGTCGTGTACTAAACGATATTGGGTCTTATCAAAGAGATCGTTCTTCAATCGTTCATCGTCAGTAATGGCGGCACGAGTAGCAACATCTCGAAATCTACTATAGAACTCCCAAAAGTGTTCTTTTGAAGACATACGCAAAGCGTTGTATTCAATATTGGCGGTAGCAACCTCAGCGGGGTCTGTAAGGATAGCGACGACATGATCCACTAGTGCATATGCATCGTAATCATCATCCAAGTAAATACCTTCGAGCAGGGTCATGGCTCGATCTTCGGTCTGATTGAATACCCATGTACGGCGTGCGTTCTCTGATCGGAAATCATGGTGGTAATCGAGAAGGTGGCCTAGGATCATCTTCTCCCAAGCACGTATACGGATATTAGGAGCCTTCCCATCCGAGAGTTTAGATGAAAGATTGGGAATGCGTCTCTCTGGATAATATGAGGCAGGGGGATTTAGCAATGATTGTTGTCGTACAGCTTGAACCTGGGGGGTCTCTCTTCCTGGACCACCGGAGAAATCAACTTTCCGTTTTGATAACAAGGGAATTGATATGGGGCGGCGGGGATCGGGTGCAGGCGTTTTTTCGATTGAGGGAAGGGCCTGGTTCTCGGGGTAATCCGGGTCGTGCCCTGCACTCGCGGGAGTGGGGTGGAAGGGGCTGTGTTTCCTAGCGCGTGGTCCTGTTTCTTCGGGAGGAACGATTGGTGGAAATGGTCCTTCCGCCATTCGTAATCGGTCCGCTTTCATCTCGTCGACGTAATTCGTTTTGGAGCTCCAATATCTGATTGCGTAGCTCGAGTTGCATTGAGGCATCTGAGGGGATGGGCTGGGAAGCTTCCGTAGCAGAATATTGAGGTAAGGGATGTGGTCCTGGTAATTCGGAATCATTAGGGTCTTCGTCGGATAAGGATGGTGGTTCTTGCTCTTCTAGTTGTGGAGGAGATCGTGGTAGTGCTCCAGAACGAGCGAAAGGATCTGTTAAGGTAGGAACTTTCTCTTTTCCTTTCCGGCTTCGTGTATTCACTCCAGAGGTAATTGGGGAGTTGGCTGGTGATTCCTTCGGAGGGGCCATCTTGTTATGTAGCAAGTGGTTTCCGATTTTGTCGTTTTTATTTTTTTAAGGGGTTGGGAGAGCCTTACGTCGAGAGAGTGCGTCTCACGGAATTGGGGCCTTCAAAAGGTTCTTTTTGCTTCACCTCCGGGTAGGTGTAGAACGTCTTTTGGAATTAATTTGAGAGGGTGGTTTGAATGTTTATTAACGACTGATCCCTCAGTCGAATCGAATATAATAATGACCTGTAGATAATGTGACCAAAAGGGTGTTTATAGACCAGCAATTGTATTTAACTTAGAATCTACAGGTGAAGAGCACCTGTAGATGGGGATAGCTACTCTATATATACACAAATGAATGGCCTAGCCGCAATGGCTAGGCAAAAAGAAGTCATATTTATTCCTCCAATGATCTTACTTTACCGATAACCATTGATACCGAGTACTTGTCCGGATCTGATCCTCAGGTCACCTAAATCGCATACTAATCTCGAGTAATCGTATCATGTGTGGACATGGTTAATGTACCTGAGGTTTCTTATATAATAAAGGTGGGAGGAAAGCAGGGATTTCCGTCACATCAACCTTCCAACCCTTTTTAATCTTTCAATTTTTTTCAATCTTCTAATTATTTAAAAATATAAATAATTTTATAATTTTTTTTTTAAATAATAAATGAATTCTTTTGATTTTATCAAAATAAATAATATGAAATATAAAAAAATAAATTTAGAATAAAGCAATATATTGTTAAAGTGAATGTGTTACGAGGTTTGCCGTCTAGATCACGTGGAAGTGCTCCAGGCTCTCGAGGTGGTTTATAACTAGGCGTCAAGCAGGGACTTAAGTAATGACAATAATGATATGCAATTCGTAACTAATAGTAGAGTATACTAAATGATTGATCTTGAGCACGAAGCTCTATACAAAGGAAATCCATCTTGATTATATAGACCTTTATGCTTCGTGGCTCGAAGGGAGCGAAGGGATCGAGCTTCGATCCTTTCGCTCTCTTCGAGTCCTCGCATCACGTGTTATTACTAATCCTGTGACCTAATTGTTACCTGTCGTAACATTGACCTCACAATAAGGCTTTTTTAAAGGAAAAAAAAAAGAGAGAGGGGGGGAGAGAAGAGAAGACCCTTCATTTTTTTTTTTTTTTTGGAAATCGGAAAGTAATATAGAATTTAAGGATTAGTTTAATCATTTAGTATTTGAAATTATTTATATTATATCTCATTTTATATTAAAATCCCATTCTATAGATTGAACAAGTTATAGTCTCAAAAATGGGGGTTTTACTGATCTTTCGATTAGTAATTTACTGATTCACTGATGCCATAGGGATATAGTTCATTGGGAAGTATGCATTGATTACAGGCGGTTAGTCAGTCATAGTCATCCATGAATCCATGAATCTCACTCATTAGGGCCCCTTCCGGATGTGGTCCGTGTAAATATAAAATATCTATCACGTACATAGGTATCAATGATCTATCTCTCCATACAAAAAGAATTCACTGTGACGGAAAAGTCGTAAACGGAGTCAATTCAATCACTTAGAATCTAAAACTAAAGAACTAAGAAGATTCTAAGTAAGAAGGTCTTTATATACAGGGCTAGTGCACGTGAGCCACTAGTGGGATAACAACCGTCACGTAACATTCACTGAACCCTCGTAGTATGATATGCACTAATAAGTAATCTATAAAACTATCACCTAATAAGTATGTCCAAATGTTTGACAGGGCGCTTGAAACATGCGTATTCATTGGTTCATTGTTCCACCCCACGTCAGCCTCACTGTCTTCTCCGTCCTTTCCTTCCCCGCTATTTCAACACCACCTCATTCTCTCAACGTCTTATGATACCGTCTTCATTTCATAGATTACAACAAGTTCAACGACAATTCTCCACAATGAATACTCAGGAACTCAAAAACTTCCTTGCGGATACACCTCCTAGTATCGTGCAGCTTGAAATCAAGAAGCATTTCGAGGCGCTTTCTGATAAAGAAAAACGTTACGCTCATTATATTAGCAGGTATGTTCAAACAAACTCGAATTACGTGTACATATATCATGAAAATTCACATATTATGAGAATTTGGCTCTGGCATAAAGCATGCATGGAAACGCGTCTATAAACAAATCAGCTGACATGATACGACAGAGCATCTATGAATGGAACTCGTATCACATTGAGACAAGTTTCCCCAGAATCTGAAGATATCTATGATTTCATTATTGAACTTCATAAATCCATCAATGGTGACTGGGGTTCTGCTCAAAAAAAAGCCGGCATCAGTGACGAAGATCTGAAATTTTTCTTAGAGTACTGCGCTCAGGTGAGTCGTATGATTTCATGAGGCATATAGTGAAGAGAATGACAAACAATAACTAACTTATCATAGTTCCTTGGTAACTGCGGAAATTACAAGTCTTTTGGTGACTCCAAGATTATTCCAAGATGTGACGAGAAAGTCTTCGATGCTTTAGCTGCGCTTTCCCCAAAGGCAAAGCAACATTATGAAGCTACTAAAGGAGCTATTTTTCCAACTCAAAATTCTGGATTAATGCATCTCGGATTTTCCGATGATGGACATTTGACCAATTACTATCCTGATTCAACCAACATCACCAAATCTGACATCGTTGCAGTTGGTGAATTTTTGGAACAAAAGGGGTTGCTAGTGGTAAGTGAGTTACCTATTTTGAACCCATTCACCATTGACACTTTAAGTAGGAAAACACAAGATTGAGAAAGACTCCGGAAGGATCATTCGAACTTTTGCTTGCCTCGGCTGTTACGAGTATTCCTCCTGAAGGCAGTGATATCGGCAATGAAACCGATTTCGTGATTGAAAAGGAACCGTTAGAGGGCACTAAATTGAAACTCATCTTTGGTGATTACTCGAAAGAGTTGGCTTTAGTTGCTGAGGATTGCAAAAAAGCTGCCGAGAATGCCGCCAATGATACGCAGAAGGATATGTATGAGGCATATGCCAAATCATTTGAAACAGGTTCATCACACGTATTCAAAGACTCACAAAGATATTGGATTAGAGATAAGGGTCCTTCGGTTGAATCTAACATTGGGTTTATTGAAACTTTGAGAGATCCTCAGGGTGTGAGAGCTGAATTCCAAGGTATGTCTTGATGGTTTTCAATTATCGGGCCAACGATTTTAACACCTCCTGTGATTAGGATTTGTTGCCATGGTAAATGCTGAACGCACACGTGCCTTTGGTGGTCTTGTCAATGCAGCTGAAAGCCTCATTCCTAAATTACCTTGGGGTGCAGAATTCGAGAAGGATAAGTTTTTGAGTCCAGATTTCACAAGTCTAGAAGTTTTGACCTTTGCTGGTTCTGGAATTCCCGCAGGTATAAACATTGTACGTTGCATCAGAAGTATGGAGTCATTAATTTGCTGATGAACACTGTAGCCAAATTATGACGACATCAGACAAACTGAAGGCTTTAAGAATGTCTCATTGGGAAATGTACTATCAGCCAAAGCTCCCAATGAGAAGATTCCTTTCATTAAAGATGAAGATCTTGAAGTATTCTCCAAATATCGCGATGCAGCCTTCGAGGTACAAGTAGGAGTTCACGAGCTTCTGGGTCATGGAACTGGTAAACTACTCCAAGAAACGAAACCAGGAGTTTACAATTTTGATATCAAAAATCCTCCCACCAACCCTCTCACCGGGAAGCCAATCACTACTTGGTATAAGCCTGGACAAACATGGGGATCTGTGTTTGGCAGTGTGGCATCAAGTTATGAAGAATGTAGAGCTGAGGCTATCGCTATGGCTCTCGGTTGCGATTTCGAGGTTCTTAAGATTTTCGGATATGGTGATGGGACACCTGATATGAATAGTGAAGCTGGAGACGTTTTATATGCATCTTGGTTATCTATGGCTAGAATGGGTATTTGCTCCTTAGAACTGGTATGTTTTTCTCCCTCCCCCTCCTTACTAAAACCAAAGCAACCACTAACACAACAACCAGTGGGATCCCCGCTCCACTAAATGGAACCAAGCCCATTCTCAAGCGCGCTTTTCTATCCTCCAATGTTTCCTCTCAGCCCCAGAATCCTTCTGTACCCTCACTCACAGCAAACCCGACCTCTCCGACCTAACCATCTCCCTCAAACGCCACCTCATCCCCACCATCGGTCGTCAAGCCGTCGAATCCTATCTCCAAAAACTACACATCTATAAATCCATCGCAGATGTCGAGAACGGTGTGAAACTATACAACAAAATGTGTTTCGTAGATTTAGATTATTGGGGTAAGAATGTTAGAGATCAGGTGTTGGCGAACAAACAACCGAGGAAGATTTTCGTGCAGGCGAATACGGTACTGGATGAGAAGAGTGGAAATGTGGAATTGAAAGAGTATGAGGCGAGTTGTGAGGGGATGATTAAAAGTTTTGTGGAGAGGGCTGTTTAGATGTAGAAGTGGGAGGAAAGAAGGGAACGAAAAGCCAATGAAGGTAGCGAGATAGGTGTAGACCAGGCTACTGCATGGATTTTACGCATATCAGTAAGGACATGTCTCAGAAACCGAGATGGTGTGGCTACTAATATTGGTGTGGAAAACTATAACTAGAACCACTCCAGTTTAGCTTTGGCTAGCTGGGAATCCTTGGAACTATGGCGGTCCTCTTATTAGATAGGTACTTAGGTATCAACACGTCAAGACGAAATCATATCAGATCCTTAGATGACTAGAGATAATACTATTATGACGAATCAAAACAGAGGTGTAGTAGAACAAGGCTCAAGTCAAATGGGCTGTAGATACTATATCGCCTCCGTACATGCCCCTTGACACGCTCGAAATGATTGACTTGCGCTTAGGACACCACATATTCCTGGTCTTTCACATGCACGTGTGTTTGCTCGCTAGTTGCGTCACAGAATCATCCTTTGAACTGCAAGCCTACATCCCAAATTTCATCCCTGTTCCTCACCTGCCAGAAATCACCCCAAATCACATATCTCACAATCATCCGCGTTAAAAAAACATATCATTGCTTTGTGGTTTTCTTCATCATTGCAAATCTGATTACAAAGCGCCCTTCACAATGAGATGACCATTGCCCATTCCGAGGTCAAGATGCAAAGAAGCGACTCGTCAAATTGATTGTAGAATTTTCCCACATCCGCGCCCAAATGTACCCATTCCCCCCAATCTCCAACACACATATTTAAAATACCATTGCGTGTGGCTTATCACCCTTGCGAAGGCTGAAAGAGCTACCGAGGTAGCTGGCGAGTTCTGGGGTCTTTTTGAGGCTGGAAAGGATGGCCTTATCGATGGTCTTTTGGTCTGCTGCGCGGCTGGAGGATGGTTGCTTCTTCTGTTTTGATTTATTAAATTTATGTAATTGTGACGTATCCCCATTGTAAGATCTTACCTCTGGCTTCTCGCCTTGCTTGAAGAAAGCCTCTTCTGATGCCTTCTTCTCTGACTTCTCTCTAGCGAAGTATTTTGGGTCTGAGAGCTCCTCAATCTTTGCCGAGTCGATACCCTCCAAATCGACCTTGGTAGATGTGGCGATAACGTAACGAGCGTTAACTCTGCGGATTGGGACACCGTTGACCTTGAATGGGCCAGTGACGAGGAGAACACCTTGGTCAAGAGCCTTCAAGAGAACGACACGCTTGCCACGGAAACGACCAGCGAGGAGGATCAGGACTTTTCCGGGTTCGAGGGATGGTCTAACTTTGGATGGTCTGATGGATTTGCGGACCTGGATAATTCATTGTTAGTTACAAAGTTCCTGACACCAGAGAGCAATGCCTGAAAATGCGGTGCAATATTATGCAATGTAATGACGATTTGGTTGATACCAAAATCAAACATATATCTGCAGATTGCAATTGTGATCGCAAACTCCACATATATTGATTTTCGCGCCGCTTCATTTTCCAAAACCGAAAATACTCCAACCAATGCTCTGCTATTTCTTGCAAAAATGGGTTCCTTTTTGTATTTACCTTTCTTGGTGCTGAGACATCCTCCGCCGGGTAGTACTTTTGTGCCTTCTCGTTGGAAACGACCCGAGTCGATTTTCCGAAGGTCTTCTTCTGGGTAGCTTCTGTTGCCGACATCTTGAAGAAGGAACCGTTGGTGGGTAGTTGTCGTAAAATTTGTCGCTGGTCGCTGGTCGTAAAAGTCGAGATGTTCTTCCGATACAGAAATCGAAGCAGGGCTAAAACCTGCGGCACTACACTTGGAATTTCAATTCGCTTAATGATTTGTGTATCATGTGATCTGGTGATTATCTAAGATTGTAGAAGTTTTGCCGTTAATATAAGGTTGGAAGATTGATTCAATCTTTAGCGTCGCGTCATTAATGGTATCCACCCGGACAGTTCTATTGCGAAGCTCCGGCCGCCTAGAGTGAAGCTTCCACTTTATTACCTATTGAAGCTGTTCCGTTTAACAATATACCTGTCACAAACAGCTATCCAAGACCAACAAGATGTCTATCTCACCTATTATTACATTTAAGGCGGGGAAGTGTGATCTTGATGTATGTATACTCGTACATTTCTTCATGTTAAACATAAAGCTAATATCTCTACTTCCATCAGACATCAAGTAAACCTCATAAAGTCAAGCCTGACCCAACTCCTGGTTATATCTATCTTTGGGCTGAAGATGGTAAGTTATATTTAAATCGCAGGACATGGATATTACTAATAGTGTGAAAGGACTTATGCATTTTCAATGGCGCGAAAGAAGTAAACCTATGGATGCTGAGGACAACCTCGATTTGATAGTGCCACCAGCGGATGCCATCTTTCAACCTTACGATTCCAAACAAACTGATGAAGCAACCGCCAAAACCAATGGTCGCATACTCGTTTTCAAGTTCTTATCCTCTTCTCAAAGATATCTTTTCTGGATGCAATCAAAACCTCAAGCGCGAAATGGAGATCCAAGTTGGTTCAGTCCCCGAGACTTGAAGATTGGACAAATTGTGAATACATTGTTGCAAGGAGAGGAGGTCAATGTTGAACAAGAAATCGCACAAGTTAGAGGGGCTGATGGAGGAGACGATGATCAGGACGAAACGATGGAGGATGTTGAAGGCCATGGTAATTCATCCGAACATCAAGGTGGAAGTGGAGGAGCTGGAGCAAATGCAACTGGTGGGGATGTTAGAGAAGAAGGCGCAAGCTCAAGGGAGGCTGGAGCTGATGGTGGAAGAGCGTAGGTTAATTCCCATCGATTGTTTACAAAGTACCCTAGCACTTTTAACATGTGGCGTTGGTTGGTACAATGGGAGATTCAAAGATGATCATACCATATAGTTCTTGTACATCTAGACAGCTACGTTTTGCGAATGAATTTCAGAAATGACAAAGCCATCTAAATTGGCTTTTGCAAAGAACCCTGCGCTGACTATGTGAGTAGTGCTGGTTCAGGACCAACAGATGCTGCCTCTGTTGTTCAAAACTTTCTTAATTCCTTGAAAGGTTCTGGAGGGGCTGGCATGCAACAACAATCACAAGGTCAAATGTACACTACCTTACCGGACCTTTTACCAAATGCAGTAACTATCCCATCGATTGACGCTGCAACCCTAGCCCAAGTGGATAATCTCCTAAGCTATCTTCCACCTACGATCCTACAACTTGCACAAGAATCCGCATCGTCCCTTGAATTGGCTGAGCCGACGTCTCAGACTGCGACTGCTGCAATAGAAGCTTTGAGCTTGGATCAAAAGAAGTCAGTATTGAAGAGAGTAGTCAGGAGTCCACAATTTCATCAGAGCTTAGGAAGTTTGACTATGGCAATTCGAGATGGTGGTTTGCCTAGTATTGCTGATGCCTTGGGAGTGAAGTTGGAAAATAACGGGCTGGTCAAGGGAGGAAGTGTTCCATTGGGAGGTGGTGATGCGGTCGAGTCATTTGTTGAGGGTGTTAAGAAGTCAGTAGAGAAGAAATGAAGTATTGAGTCGCAATCTCTTTTCTTTAGGACGGTGTAAAATAGGGCGGGTAGATGCGATGGTGTGGTGACTTGAGATGATACCAATTCATGATATGTTATGACTAAAAGAACAGTTTGCATGGGTGACTGATGTTGACTGGGGATTTGGTGGGCAAGGCCGAAGATGAAAAAATAAATGATACCTAGGATTGTATCTCAAGGCATAAGCTGTTAGTTAGTACTGATAGTGGTGGCATTTTGATGAGGGGATGAAGTGTCATTGAATGTGATAGTCAAGCATCATACCAGGTTATTCAGGTGACATTAGCTTGCTTCATGTATCTTTCCATGAATCTATCATTCTCGAAAATTGCTTTTACACTGCACCGACAACTCATCATAGTTTTGTTCTCACAGTTGGCCATTTGCCTCTGGACGTTGCAGCAGCGATTGTCTCCAGCTTACTAAGCTTATCCTTGGTGAATGACCATTCCCTTTATGACGTTGCAGCAAAGACTGATATTCTCTCATCATATTGATCCTCACTTCACATCACTAAGTGTACTGGTTATAGTTATACCTTTTCAAATCACTATCTTTACTCATCTTCTTCTCTCTAGGCAGGTAATTAATAAACTCACTTTGACCACTATGGTATTCTTCTAGCATTCCGCAGAGAAAAGTGATTAGTTCATGCAGCTGCCGAACACCTAACGCCATAGGTGCTATTAGTCGGATGAAGTAGAACCATCACCTTCATCTCTTATTCATAGATTTTTTGCTATTGTAGGCTGGCTGGATTTAGAATTCATATATTGAAGAGTTTCAGACCGGCTAAAGTGTATAGCAGCTCTTTATTTGATATATGAAAAGTACGCATTTACACAATCCTGTCTGCTGCTAGAGGATATTGGCTGTATTAATGATACTCTGTTTTAATCACATCAATAGAGTTTTTCTTTCTGCTATTTAGTGATAAGAATTTCAATTCATCTTCTTCAACTTACTTTGGATGAAGGCTCACTATACTATTATTGATCCATACCTAGTGGTTCCTTGTCATCTGATAGGAGCTTTTATCCTAAATATCGAGAACGAAATATACATGCTTCTCTTCTGTTCTGTTGAAGATTCAACTTTAATGGTCTAGAAGAAATCATATCTTACTATTGGGAGTCAGATTTTCAAAGTTTTCATCTTTGATAGACACAGTTTTCTACCTATTCTAGTGAATGTGAAATCAATTTACGGTTCCTATTATCTTTCAACATCAGACAATACAGCCATTCTATTAGATTGTCGCTTAAGAACTGTTCTCGGACTTTCCGTTATCTTCCAAAAAACATCATAAAAGTTTTTCAGTTCAAGATTTTATCCGACATTCGATATAAACAAATATACGTGCTTTCTTTTCACAACCTTAACTTGTACCTCCTAACGTACTGCATCTTACTATAGCTTGCTGAATATCCTTTCTGTACCAATCATATTAGCATCTCCAACATGTCTGGCCCTGGCGCAGGTAACCCTCCTCCACCAATTCTTCAAGGCTTGGGAATCACTTCAAATACAATAAACGGGAGTGGTACTCCTAACAATGCTTTTGCGGGGAACAACCCAGGGCCTGCCATCAATAATCCAAGAACAAGACCGGGAGGCACACAGACGCAGCAACAAATGAAGCAGCAACCAAATCCTAGTATGCTTCGTCAACAACAGGCGCAGGGGCAACATACACAAGAGCAGCAAATGCAACATTTGCAAAGGCAGCACCAACAAATGCGAAATCAAACTCAACAGCAACTAAATAGTCAGCAAGTGCAGCGGAATCAGATTCAACAGCAACAAGCGCAGCAGCAAGTACACAACCAACAAATGCACACACAGGAAGCCGGTTACCCCAACCAAAATCCATCATGGTTAGAACTACAAGGTCTCCCCATAGATCCAGCTCTACAACATCTTCTCACCACCGGTCAAGCCGTCAATCCCACACAATACCGGGTTCAAAGAGGAATGCCACACCCTTTTCCTCCTAACGGCGCATCAGTAAACGCACAATCAGCTAGCGGAGAGCAAAAAGGAGAAGAAGAAGAGGGAGAAAAAATCTACGAAACCAGCACTCTACATCTCCAAATCAGCTCCCCTCTTACAATCACCGGCGATAACAACATAATCACATTACACCCCTCCCCTCAAATACAAAACATCACAGACGCAGTACTCAACGCTCTGAAATCCGTCACCGAAGGTACACGTGGTCTCCCAATGGGCGACCAGGAAGGGACACCCCGCGGGATCCGTATTGATGTCATGGCAGCCGTTGCGATAAATGGTCAAAATAATGTAATCGGAGAAGAAGCTGTTAGGGCTTGGGGTCAAAAGGTTAAGGCTGAAGCAATGGTGACACAGAATCATTCGCAGAGATTGATGGCGCAGGCAAATGTTCAGTTTAATGCGCAGAATAGGAATCATATGCAAGCTGCGCATGCTCAGGCACAGGCACAGGCGCAGAATCAGGGACAGGGATACGGACAACAACGACAGATAATGCCACCAATGCAAGGGAATACGCAGAGACAGGCTCAGGTTCAAGCCAGCGGCGCTCCTACACAGGCACAGCCTCAACCTACTATCGTACAGAGACAAACCCAGCCTCAGACGCCTGTCCAAAGACAACCGCAAGCACAAGCACAAGCACAAGCACCCACCCAGCAACAAACAAAAAAGACCACACAGCCAGAGGCAGCAAAGACTCAAGGCCAGATAGAACAGGTACAAGCACAAGCGCAACAAAATGCAGGTGTAATGTCTGCTCTTGCTTCGAAAGATAGTGGGAAGAGGGCTAGGGAACTGAGTATGGATCGGGATCAGAATGGGGAGGAGGCGAATAAGAAGACTAAGACGAAGATGGATGGGTAGATTTTTGGAGGATTTTTCTTTTTGCTGTTATTGGGTTTGGGGTGGGTGGCTGGGTGGGTGGCTGGGTGGTTGAATGGGTTGGTTTAATAGGGATAGGGATACGGATATCTATGGATCAATTACTTGCTTTGATTCATTTATATGTATTTCAGGTTGGGGCAACCAGATATCTGAATATGGCGTATAGATGGTGATTAAGAAGTTATTCTCTTTCTTTCCGAGAACGGCTTATTACCAGTACAGGGTTCAGTACTAGCTTGATTGAGCTGCTCTGCCAGTCTGATGTTACACCTCCCAGCTCTCAGTCCGACATTGGTTGAGAACACGGGAGCTGGAGTTACTCACTTTCTAGTGTAATTACAAAAAGACTTTTCTGTAAATAATAGATAGCAGAGTAGATAAGGCCAAGGATGTAAGATCTTACATCGTAATCACCCATGAACTAATTTACCACTTTGCAAGATACCCAAAGAATCTTTACTACGATGCATTCACATATTCAATGAATGCAAGAGTCTCATGCTCATATTCCTGATCAGACTTCATTAATTGGCCTAAGCTCTTTATTGTACAAAAGTTTCTTTTTAGAAAGCCATTGCTCTATGAAAATGACTTTTCCATCCCTACTCAAACATATCCTCACTGTGTGCCAGAAGTAAATCATTTGTGATCCATATCATATTATCACATCGCCATGTGATATAAAGCTCCCCATCTCAGACTCCAAGTAAAGCAAGCATCCCTAAATCCATGAAAATTAAAGCAGAAATCTGCCATACCTGCTTATGCAACAAACAGTGGAACTGTCTTCATCTGTAATCACTTGAGCGGATGTCTTGTCTGTGCAGATCCTTGGCCGATCGAGGTAATTTGCGATCTCGTTCAAACAGGAATCCACAGTTATTGCAAAGAGTCTGAAAATTATTAGTATTGTGATCATCCAAAAATGAAGGTAACTTACTCTTGGGCCGGAAGGTCCGTCCCTGACACACCAAACTGATGTTCCCCAGACTTTGCAGTGAGAGCATCTCCAACTATTCCGCTCGAACTCAGTAAGACTACCACCTCCACCATACCCACTAATACCACCAGTGTCTGGTGTGCCTCTTCCACCGGGTGTCCCAGATCTGCCCAATGGACTAAGACTTCTAAAACGTCTCTTCTTCTTACTCCTCTCACCACGTCCCATACGTTCTTCAGCTGGTGGCTCATCAAAGTATCCTCTATTCTCACTAGGCGTCGGAAGACCGCCTGCCATCCCAGAATTCGAGGAAAATCGAGCGGTTTCTCGCCTCATTCGTCTAATTTGCCTCTCTCTATCTCCCTCACGTTTCTCAATTTCTTCTTTCGACAAGATCTCAACCTTTGGCTCCCATTCATCTGCTAGATGTTCATTATCATATCTCCATCCAGCATCCTTGCCATGTGCAGCATCATTGGGTATATCTCCTCCGTAACCACCAACCAAACCACCACTTTCACATGCCTCTTTTTTCAGCCTTAAAACTGCTTCATAGATGGCGTGAGTCATGGCCGGGACCCATTCACCAGGTAATCCAAGATCTGCACATGTCTGTTTTGCAAAAATTTCAGCTGTCCCTGGAGGGTGTAGTAATGACCATTCAAACCTGTCTGTGTAGAGATGATTCGAGAGGTTGATGTTTAAATTAATGATGCAACGGTACATGTCATCCGGGTTATATTCATCAGAATCGGGTGGTATCGAGGTAGCAGTGGCGGTAATATCTTGCGATTGTGCAGTGGTAGGTTTAGCAGGGGTTGAAAATCCATTAGATTGACCGATACCATTTCGCATTGGGGTGGCATTTCCACTCGCAGCAGCAGGTGTGTTTGAAGCATCCCGAGATGATGGTCCTTGTTTGATGGTGTTTACAGTGCCGTTTGCCGTTGCCGTTTGCTGTGAATGAAAGAGGGGATGAAGGGCCACACCAGCGTATTCTTCGAGCTGTGTACGGATCTGCTTGCTGATCTCCGCCGCCATTTGTCCTCTGTTTGGTAAGTCCAAATCTTGTACCATGGTTTGCGCGAATTGATCTGTGGTCGTCAATGTCTCGTGTAAATTCCACAAAAACACATCCTTCAAGCGATACGGCACTGTTGACTCTTGCGGCTTGTATACAGGAAGGGAGGTATCAATCGTAGGGTATGAGACTTGAATATTTACAGGAACTGGTAGAGGCGCAGGAGGCGTGAAGGAAGGAATATCAAGGTCGATTCGAATCGGGATTAACGTCAATGGCAATGCTACTTGTGCATAATTTTGCATGTCGGTCTTTAAAGGCCTCTGCTTGCCCATCCAATCTCTCCATATTCCCTGAACCTCTACTGGCGCAGTAGCTTCCTTGCCAACCTTGTCTGCGGGATCTTGCTTTGCTTGTCCAGTATCTTCCCTTCGTAAACTCCTTAAACCCGTAGGCCTTCTCTTGTTTTCATCATCTTCATCCTCCTCATAGTCGTATCCATCCTCCGCATAATTTACTGCCGTAGTTCCTCTCTTGGTTGTCCGACCCAGTGGTGCCGCAACAGCTGTCGCTGGTTGTATGACGGGCGTGAGTAGTGAATTTGCATATGTGCGCAATCGTGGAGCATAACTCGAAATAAAAGACTGGGGAGGGTTGCGAGTAGTCATTTTGATATTGAATTAATAAATATTGAAAGTATCAATTTGATCAATCGGCCCTTGGAGCGTGCGAAAGAACGATTTTGTATTTGAAAACAGCTCAAAAGCCACTCATAACAAGCTGCGGAGTTATGCGATCATAACCATAGGAGTTGCGCAGTCTCGGGGTATTGTATGGTGTTTCCAAAAGATCGTTGGTTATATCTCAGAACGCGTCGCGAGAATATCAATTGTCAGACTGGAGCACTTTGGGATCTTTGGTCAAGAAACCTCGCTAGTCCAAACTAGGTTAGCGTGGATCTCAACATGATCTTCCTCCGATTTTTCTTAAGATGGCGTTTAATAAGTGCTGTATATGCCTTGAAAATCCATTATTTATTATTTTCTATATTAGAGCTACAAAATTATTACCACTGTGTACCATTTTAGAGATATACTACAAGTATTGTAGTAAATCTTATGAACCTATTTGAAAGCCGACCAGTGGCCATGGTGTTACATGCAGACTTCTGACGGAAAAGGAGTTATTGGATGTAGTGTCGAAGATTTGTATTTGTTTATGAATACTAATCTTTTCCTAGTATTGATAAAGGTAAAGGTCTACAGTAGCCTCTTGACGGAGCCATGAGCACATACTTTACATAGGATAACCTTACCTAGGACCAGGATTGGTGATGAGTGAGATGGAGATTAAAGGTATTTGAATTGACATAAGTATTTCTAGACAAGAGCACAAATTTTCGGCCTCATCATGGTGGCTTCATGATACTAGCTTTCTCGAGAAAATAATCACTAAGTTCTTATCTATTTCCGTCTATGATCATAGTCAAGATCGTAGTGATAACATCAAGCATCACATTTCCTAGGCAGAGGCAGTTTTGTTTTCAGAATGTCTTCCCACTCAATAAACCTAACTTATTCAAATTATTGCTATCTCCAGCTCAGACCTTTGCTACCACCAATCCACAGACAGTTCAAGTTACAGCTTATCCTAGCCGACTCCCCAAATCAAAAATTTGCCATCCTCACTAGACATAATGGGTACTCGGGTGTGCTGCTGCTTCCTCATTCTGACGTGTCCTTTCTCCCTTGTACGTCAGTAATCCTTCCCTCCGATGAGCCTTATCATATCTCTCATATGCATCTTCGAGCAGAAACTCTTTTGAAGTATACGCCAACAAAACCTTCGACTTCATCATCACTAAACAATGAGCAATATACTTCCTTGGTCCGTACTCAGCTAGCCTCCACGCGCCTTGCACGGGCTACAGCTCGTGACCTGTGTCTACCATCCATTGCTCTGGAAGAAATTCCTCGGGTTTAAACCAGAACTTAGGTGCTCGTTGCATGCCTCCATGGTCTTCGAAGTAAACTGCACGATCGGTAGGACATGCTTTACCTTTGTCATCATAAGAGTGACACCTGCATATCCTTGTCTAGAACTTGATGCAGCTGGAGCCTTGCGAAGCGTTTCCTTAATCACAGCAGTTGTGTAAGGCAAATCATATGCGAGACGCGGTTTGGTTTTTAGAATTTCGCTTGTTCCGGCCATCTTTTTTCCAAGTACATGGACATCTTCTTCTCTTGCTTCTCTCATGGCCTCGTCGCTCTTCGAAAGTGATGTTAGATATAACATATTGTACTACTGAGTGAAACATGGCTTAAAAAAACGGACAAACTTATTTGTCTAATGGCAAATGCCTTGAAGTCTGGGTCTAATTTGTCGGGCTTGGTGCCGGAGTCGAGGCAATTTCTGCTTGCAAATAAGGTCCATGATTGCTTTGCTCGAAGAGCAGGTGGTTGAAAAGACAGTAATGTCTTGATGCAATGGGCTGCGATTGTTGTTAGTCGGTGACAACCCATAGTAAGAGACTGGAAGAACTGACGCAGCCTTGAAAAAATAATCTAGCAAGCTAACCCCTATAACTAAGACGGAAGCTCTACATGGTTAATCTGTATGGTACCCATGATCGAATGTCTCTAGTTGTTTGAAAAAATGACTGAGTGGTTGATGGATGGTGAAGGGCTGCATTTGGCTGCCAGATTATTTTAGGGCATTGTTGGATAGTGGCTGAGAGTGAATACCAAATGTGGGAACACCAGTAATGAGATGAACATGTCTTTATGCCAAGCTAACATGCCAAGTATTATTATTTCGACTATTCTCAGAAAAACCTCATGCACCTTTGTTCGGTCCTTTATGAAATAGTCTCAAACCAAGCTCGTTTGAGATTGTAATGGGATTTGCTGTCCTCCAGACAAGTGTCTTAGATAATCTCGATTGATCAAACGGTAAATGAAGCACCGAACCCTCTAAGCTCTGAGATCTGACTTGAATTGCGGATAGCTGGGTTAACAGTGATATTTTTTGATGAAATCGTTTGGTGATGCAGCGTGCAAGTAGACCGTCTTCTCCAATGAGAAGGATGCATCATGGAGGACATTGTTGGTTATCAAAATATGAGTTTAGTCAAAATACCTCTTAATAGCCTTTTTAGACTTCTTTTGAAGATTCGCGGTGTATATGCAAATATACCTGCGATACATATGATGCATTTTATGGAGTTTTGTACTCCGCAAGTTAGTGATGTCCCCAGGGAATTCTAGGTATGAGCTTAGCTCGACCATGAAACACAAAAGAATGGAACATAATTCATGCTTAGCCCCATGCTAAGTCCTGGCTAGGTACCGTTCAAGCGATTAGTCATGATGAAACACATACATAATCATTTACCTTGTGTAGGAATACTCCTGCTCACGGCAGATGCGTGCGTACCTACCGAAGTAACCTAGATTGTTCTAGCTAAGCTGAGACACTCACCGGATTTAATCGATATCGGCCAATAGCTAACCAGAAGTTTGCATGCTCACATTTATTGTACGCATGTATCGTCTTTGTCATTGGGACACTGGTAGAAGCGAAGCATTAGCGTTACCCGAGAAATCTCGGGCCAAGACTTTTAGCCGACTCTTAACCCCTAATTCCATGCTATGGATTTTATTTTTCTGTGATAAATCTGCCATCAAACTCTTCTTCAAAACCACTTTATCGCTTTTTCTCTCATACCTCGCGCAAATTTGAATGGAAATTATCAGAATTATCACGAAACTTTAGCCTCAGCTCCTGGTATGGAGGTGAATGTGGAAAAAGATACAAATGCAACAAGCACTTTGGATCAATCATCGAGCGCTTCCAAGAGCTGACACTTCGACGTTGAAGAGCCAGTTAGAAGTCTGAAGGTCATAGAGTGGATTATCTGCGTTCCTTCCATCTACTACGCCGTTTCCCTGTGTGCTCTTGACAACACCATCGTTGCTTCAATCCAACCAGCTACCATTAAAGACTAACAAACACCCTCTTCAGCGACACGGTGCCCATTTCTGGTGTTGTTGTGTCGGGAATCATGGGTGTAAACTTCGAATTGGTTCTTTTCGCTTGGGGATAGCGATAGGATTATTGGCTGCTTTGTATGTTCTGGAATTTTGTAGATATTTTTTTCGCTTGCAGCGGCATTATTGTTCCCTCACCACTCCACAGAACGGACTGTTTTCATGTGATGTAATCCTGAACTGGGAAGCCGACGTTTGATCCGTACAGACTGCTTTTGGTATGCGCGCTAGCCTAACATTCATTTATTTCAATCCGGTAAGTGTATCTTGACCCCGGTACTAGGCTGTCGTGGAGAGTATAAATACGGCATAGATTCTGGTAATTGCGCCGTTGCATTAGCTTTTGTTCTATGCCCTCTTCTGAAGTACCGATTCCGAGAATAACAATATCTATGCTCGATACTTTGATTTTTTAGTCCTATGTTTTATGTTTATGACCTTTTGCTTCCTATTTTCCATCTGAAGTTAAGAAAATACGGATTACGCGAAATAATCTACAGCTAGCGCGTTCTACGATGGACAAAGCTGGCCATTCATTTTATCGATATAACTATCATGGCATCCGTTTATAAGATGTCTTGTAATTCCAATGTCTTTCCAAAATTTCTCTAGACATTCAATTATCGCCAATTTTATCCTATCACATCACTAATTGAAATGGCCAACACCAGGTAAGTCTGTCTATTCAGATAATCATTCCTCTACATACTCTGTCATTGATTCAAACAATCATCCGTTCATGTATTCTATCATTGATTCGAACAATTTCATATATTCTGTCACTCATTCAAACAATCATTCATCCACATATTCTATCATTGATTCAAACAATCATTCGTTCACTGCTCAATTATTTAGGGGCATCCGGTCATTCATTTATTACTTTACTAATCCTTTGCCTTGTTCATTAGGACACGGAATCAGCAGAGCTCAGAGCTGGAAGATGATTCGGTGGAAGGTGATTTAGCGGATCTCGTACGTGTCATTTGTTCCTCCGTCTATCCCGCTTGTATAGTCATGCTAATAGAATTTGTAGACTCCCTCAGCGTTCAAACATCCCTTTGTAGCCCCACCTCCTGGCACATTCAAGACTGTAAGTACCTACTCCGCACATACTATCATTGCCTCGCGTCTGCCAGCCTATCATAACCACATTGGGTAAAACGACAGCATGGGATCACAGCCATCTATCAACATCAAGCCTTCGTGTATTCAGACATAAGCAAGAATCTATTGGGCACCGTGGGCCATAAACCTTCCTACTTTGGAAAGGGGAAAATTCTCTGATTATGCGAAGCTACTTGAGTTCCCTTATGTGACAAAACTTTAATCCGGAAACGCCTACGACTGTAGTGGTCAATGAGGTGCTGGCCCGACTCTGGAGCTGTGACGCTTTTCCAGAGGCGCCTTTACACCTCGTGTGCGGCTTGCGGGGTACTAGTGTGGACCCTTTTTAGGAGAGCTGAAGTAAAATTCGCTCCATTGTTTTGTCAGATGCTGGGCGGAAGCAATGATCATGTGAGGTACTTACTCAGTCCTGTGACATCGGCTGACATGCGTGGTCGTAGATGCGTGGTCATAGATGCCCGGATCGAGGAAGTGGCGGAAGCGAGAATTAGAAGCGAAGGAGAAAGAAAGGGAGGAGAAGGAGAGGGAGGAGAGAGAGAGGAAGGAGAAAGAGAGGAAGGAGAGAGAGTGAGTGGGAGGAAGGGAGGAGGAAGAGGAAGGAGGACGAGAAATGGAGTCAAGTCGCGAAAGTAAGAATCCACCCACTTTTTCCCTGTTTTGTTCCAGACTTTTTTCATATCTTTTTATTACTCTTTTCGGTTTCGTTAGGAAATTTCCATTCATCTATTCATCAAGCTAGCTGGTCAACAGTCCTTATGCATCTATTTGATTATCTAGCCTGCCAGGCCACCCCACCATTCAGTTGTTGATTCGCTTGTTCACTGGCCAACTCATCCTTTCGTTACTAGCCTTTCATCCACTTGCCCATTTTTCATTCCTTCAAATGTACTGATTTGTATATAGAACCAAACATCATCCGGGAAGACAGAGCTAAAGAATTGGGAAGATCTGTGTTCAATTGTGAGTAGATTCTAGACATTATCATTTCAATTCTCACCCGGACACATACTGATATTTTGTAGACTAAAGACGCTGTGGTAAAAACTGTATGTTCATTTCGAAAACACCCTTGATAAGTATTTATGAGCTAATTATTATATCAGGCTAGAACAATCATATTATACATCGTGGTGGCTTATTTAGTTGCTACTTTGTGGCTTGCCCTAGTTGGTAGTCTTGGCCGGTTCGTGATAAAGAAATCCGTTTCCTAGGCGGTCCTTTTGGGAAGCCAGGAATTCGGGGTTTAAGAGCAATATTCTTAGGAAGATGTTCAGTTGTGTGGACAACAGGGCTTACATTTGGGGAGACGCCGAGATATGTGCCGATTGCGAGATTCTCGAACAGACTGGCCTCAGAAATTCACGACCAACAAAAATTGTGCTAAATCCTTGGATGTTGAGTTGCACCGTCCGTTGAACACAAAACTTCAATAACCTCCATTTATTGAGCGGCATTAGCTGAGTTCTTGTATTGCCAGGATGTTCCATCTATACTGCTAGAGTAGATACTATTTACCACCTAAATATGTGAAGATAATATTCACAAATTTGCTTATTGTATGGTGATCTTCTACTTTCTTGTCTCTTTTATCAATAATCAAGTAACTTGGTTTCGACTTCTTCGGCCAAGGAATAATGGATGGGCAACCAGCGGGTGCTCTGTCAAATCGATGCAAGTCCATGAATTTTTGAGGTCCTGGGATTATATAGCGATTGAGATGTGGGCATGCGCAATCAAAGCTCACAGGAGCGGTAAATGTGCTCTTGTCCCGCGAATGTGGGCGAGGAGGGAAAGGAGAAAAACAACATCCATCATCTTAGTAACGCATCGCTTAACCTTACCTAATCCACAAAACCAAGACCTCATTCAACCCACCAAATCTAATCCAACTCCCAACCTCACTCACGTCATCAATCCCAAAATCAAAAACCCTTAAACCTGCAAAGATGATCACAAGCAAAAGCGGAACCAAAAAGCGACTCGAATGGGACTCGAACCCACAACCTTTGCCACCGGAAAGCAATGCGCTACCATTGCGCCATCGAGCCCTTGGACTAGTTCGGAATTGCCATTATTTGAATATAAATATCTAGAATGTGAGAGCCCCACTATGTACCCCGCACCATAGAGTCTAAGACACGCATTTTCGAGATTTCATTATCAAATGGGCTTGGATGTCGTAAATGTGATTTTTATTATTCTCAAGTAGAATTTTCCTTCACCTCTGGAAATTGAGACTTTTATCAAGTTGAAAGTATAAGAGGTTATAGCTAATACCTACCTAGCTAGTTAACAGCTAAACCAAACTCATTGTCACGATTCACCATCGCAGGATTAGTGTCATGTGAAAAGTAGAATCACGTGATGTGCTAGCTCTGCTAGCAGTCAGGAGATCGATAGTATATAGTCAGAATAGTTTTATAGTTTAGGAGCTTCGTGCTCAACTTAGTTATCAATTAGTTTACCTACATTCTACTTGATCTAGTAACGACCTCACTTCCAAGTGAATACCAGTGATAAAGCCTTAACCCATAACTACCAACCGACGAACCTTAGGCAGCCGCTGCCTCCAGTACAGTATCGTTACAGTAAGATCTTACTTCCCCTAGGTACTGAAAACAAAGCAGAAATTCGCTTTTATCTTTTGGCATAGATTATGTAGGACTTGGTAGGTATATCTTTTCCCTGGTTTTCATTATCTCCAAAACTAAGTATATATATTTATGCATGTATCTATCATATCCTACATCCTCAACTATTCATCCTATTATTCCGCCAGAAGCAAATAAATAATTAAGATCAGCATCCCACTTGCACTAATGTAAATTCCCCACTCCGCCCTAGAAGTGCTCCACACCCAAGAACCCCCGGCCCAGGCCAGCCTCAAACGATCCTCAAAATTTGATCTTAGCCTTAACCTTAACTTTACCACCCGTTCCTGCCCTTCATCCTTCATGAACCTTACTTTCCCCACACCTTCCCCTATTTCTCAACCGCAACCACCAAGCCCTCCCTCCCTCCGCAAACAAAACCCCAAACCCCAAACCCCCAAAAAACGACGTCGGCATGATTCGAACATGCGCCCCCGAAAGGAATTGATATCAAATTTCCGTCATCGCCCATCTTTCCTCTCTCAAGCATGTCAAGAGGAATAACACAACGATGTAATTCGAGTCAATCACGTTAACCACTCCGTCACGACGCCTTTTTGCTGACTAATACATGAAGAGATTTTGGATGGGTTTGGGTTTATATACTAGGTGCTGGGTACTGATGGAGTGGGTGGGAGAGAGAGATTAGTGGGGAGGGATGGGTGGTGAGGTTGAGATTAGGAATTGATTTAGATTTGGATACACTGATTGAATGGGTTGTGATGTGGAAATTGTTGTTGTTAATTTAAATGCGTTAAAGGTTTCGTCTCGTCTCGTCGTTATCACACAATCCTCTATCAGGTCAGACTCTATATTCCCCATGTAGCTGACCATCCCCTATGCTTTTCCCATTCCACATATCCTATATTATAAACATTAATACAATACTCATAAAAATCATACACTCATCATCGCCCACCAACATAACCCAACACCCAACGTCAACACCACCAACCCCTCTAAATATCATGTCTAGCCTTCTTACTCTTATGTCTAATTACCTCACCCCATTTGTACAAAACAAACGGAATGGGAATAAACGCGACACTAATAAACGCCAACGTAGAACTTGCCCAGGGAACCCCCAAATCCTTAAACATCGCATTAGCAAAAAGTGGAAAACCAGCACCGAAACATGATCTCATGAAGTCATTTCCCGCGTATGCTGATGCCGCATACACGGGATATGCGTCACCGATGTAGTTTAGGACTGAATTGAAGAGGAGAAAGGCACCAATGGAGAAGAAGGCTGAGCCGATTATGGGAAGAATCCACTGGATAGATGTTAGTTTATGGTGCGGAAGAGAAGGGGAAGAGGGAACATACGTGAATACTTTCTGTACTAGTCCAACCAAACCAAAATAAACAGATAGGAATGCAAAAAGCACCAACGAAAGCTGGTTGCAATCTAATCTCTGGTTTAATATTACCATTTTCATCAAATTTCGGTTCTTGATATTTCTTCAAGTACCAAAAGAATGGTGGGATAACCGCCAGAGATCCGACGAAAATACCCAAGAAAGCTAGACCTTCTTTCCCCAAGCTAAAACCGTGAATCTCGACGAAAACAATGGCGAATGATTCAAACCAGACGTATAGAAGACCATAGATTAGGGCGATGTATAGATTGAGACAGAAAAGAATTGGTTCGGTAAAAGTAAGTGAGAATGGACGAATGAGAGCCATGTTTATTTTATCTTGCGTGGTCATTTTATCGGCTTCAATTTCTGGTTCGGATTTTAAGTTCTTGACGCCACTTGCTTTTGTGAGACGAAGACGTCGTCGATATAATATATTGGCGGAGCTAGTTTCAGGTAAGAAGAAAATTAGGACGATGAGTGCGAATCCTATAGAAATGTTGTCAGTACCAGAGCTAACGGTAGTATACATCAAAGTCCTGAAAATGATGGATCAACTCACCAGATAACCAAGTCAATTCCCAAATCGTCCAAGTCCACCCTTTATTCTCCGCAGCGAATCCTCCAACCAAAGGACCCAACTAAGCTTATCAGTGATCAAGAATCGAAAGAAAGAAGTAGAGAAAAACATACCACTGGACCCGACACAGCAGCCATACCCCAAATCCCAATAGCATAAGCCCTCTTATTAGGTGCATACATATCACTCAACGAAGCCCCTCCAGTAGCCAAAACAGGAGAACCAAAAAAGCCCGTCAAAAATCGAAATATAAGCAACATGGCGAAATTCCTCGCATATATAACACCGAATTGTAAAACCACAAAGACAATAAGCGTACCAATGTAAACGGGATTTCGACCAATTTGAGGTATCTCACTCATAGGAGACCATAACATGGGTCCGATACCATAACCGGCTACAAATAAGGTGAGACCAGCAGTGGCAGCTACTTGACTGACTCCGAATTTTTGCATTACGTCTAAGATTCCTGCAGAATAGATGGCTGATCCAATGTAGACGGCGAAAGTCAATAGACAGATGAGGAAAGTTACGAAGAATTTCTTTCCTTTCGACCAATTTTGTGGATTCTATTATAAAGCTTCAGTTAGCATTGTAATTTTGCAAATCCTAGACTGTATTTTTGAATGCTACAAACACAGCTACACAACATACCTCTGAATCAAAAACCCCATCAGTTTGATCCCAATCAATAATTTGAGCATCTATGCCTCCATTCTTCGTATTCACACCATTATCATTTACCACTCTTGTTCGATCCGAGCTTTGCGTTGCGTTTGAGGGTCTAACATATTCTCCATCTTGACTTGGACTATCGTTATCTTTAAATTCCAATGATTGTTCTTGTTCAGGCTCATCACAACTTCCATGTTCCCTCACGTTCTGCGTCTTTTGGGTATGTAGATATTTCCGCCAGATATCTGCTTTTCCTTTCTCGGTGTCGGATGGTACACTTCGTTCCTCTGGATATTTTAAAATTCTTTTTCCTGATAATAGACGTAGGACCTTTCCGGCTGTTGCATCTCGAAAAATTTCCTTCATCTTCGCCGTTTACTTTTCAACTTTGTTGGCGGCACCAATAATGATTGAATGAGTAAAAACTAGTGTGGCAAATAAATATGCCTGTATTAAAACAAATAAATAGATAATTCTAGAGATGAACCTTTAAACTATTGATAATATTAAGCTTATGAAGAATGAAAATATGTGAAGCAAACTATATTTAAAAAGGGATGTATATATATTTATATGAAAATGATATATCAGAAGAAAAGACGAAAATCCAGAGAAAGAAACAAATATGAGTATGAAAACAAAACGAAATCATCACTTTCCCCATGGACTTTTCTTCCCTTCTTCCAAATACAACATCCAATTCTCGGCCTTTTCAATAGACCGCATGATATCATACCTCATACCAACCTAGTAGTATCAACTGGATATCAAGCAGTCCCAACATCGACCATACCCAACACAGCAACACCTATTAGTATTTTCCCGTCAGCCTATTCCACAGTCTTCATGGTCATATAAAAAATCAGCAATTCATCCATCCATTAATTAAACCCGAGATCTAAAGTCCATCAAGCAGACTCAACAGATCAACAGCAAGCATCATAGCATCACCATCACCATCACCATCTCCACGCACATAAAATTGTCCGAAACCCGCATTAAGCTTAAACTTAAGTTACTTAACATGCACGCATAGACAACAGCATCGACTTCGATATACCCGCATTATTTCGATATGGCGAACATACTAGTTCCGCACCTAGTTACATGCACGATCAATGAGATAAGGCTTAAGAAACATTCATCGATCGCTGACGTAGATGACTTTTTAGAAATTCCTGATTACTTAATATGGTGATCTTTTGTTTGTTTCGTCTTAGCACATCGCTTGGCACTTTTTTGCCCCTTAACTCCGCCGAGTCTAAAATGACCTTAGGCGATGGGTGGGATATAAGGTTATTATATTGCACGTCTGAGAATCTAAATTCGAATGTTCCATTGATTTCGGGTTAAATCTAGACCTGAAATGTTATAGAGTATGGATGGGAGCATGTTTACTAGGTTATTTGAAGATGTTTTTGTTTGCCACATTTAGAGGATTTTACTTATTAATACAAGATTACCCTTCTTGCTGAATCTACTCGTGATTGGAATAATCAACTAGTATGTTACTACTGTCTTATAGTAGCCACTAACCACTAACTTCCTCTGTACTCAGTATATTTGTATGTACACTTAAAATTTTGGATTTTCGAAGTTTAATAACACTCGATTATCTAAATACTGCTACCTATACATCCCTCCCCTTCTTCCTTTCCCACTCCCCGCTCCTCCCTACAAAGCTAAAATAACACTAATCTGTTTCGGTTTCCATCTGCATCTCCACTACACCTCCACGTCCACATTCCTCCCCTTCTTTCCCCTCTTCCCGCTCCTACTACATCCTTATCTCTAGTCACATACACACACACACATTCTCTCTCTCCGTCTCAAGTAAAACAAAACAAAACAAAACAAAACATAGCACCTCCAAAACCCACCTACTCATCTACTTAACCAATCTCATCAAATTTCACCTCATCTCACCTCACATAACTAGCAGTGATTAAGTAATTCAATAATAACAACCAACTATCTCACCACACTTCATTTTCCGCAATTTTTCTTTATAGCATCCAGACGTCTAGACATCCAAACATCTAGACATCCAAACATCCAGAGTCCCTACATACAATATATATCAAGCGTACTAGACAGGAACTTTCCTAGTCCCACCTTACACAATCAATTCCCATCCACATCCACATGCACATCCCTCATCAGACCCTCATCACTCCAAAAATCAACCCAAACAAAGCATTACATTACCTACCTACCCTCCCAATTCCTCCCCTCTCCTCTCCTCTCCTATCCCCCCTCTCCTTTTCTATCCCCACTCTCCTACCTCCCCTCTCCTCTCCTCTCCTATCCCCCCTCTCCTTTTCTATCCCCACTCTCCTACCTCCCCTCTCCTCTCCTCTCCTATCCCCCCTCTCCTTTTCTATCCCCACTCTCCTACCCCACCTCTCCTCTCATCCAAATAGCATCTTAAAAGAATAATAAAAACTATCTATCACCATCACCAACACCAACACCAAAAACCCGTACTTATATTTTCAAGACCTTCTCCACACTCCTCCAAACATTTCCAATCTTCACCAAGCTTCTCCAAACACACTAACACTATCCCCTCAATAATAAGAAAGGACAAAGTCAAAATCCCACTCACATACAAATACACACACACACACATATATAAAATAATAAATTCACCGAAAAACAAAAAACAAAAAACAAAAAACAAAAAAATAAAACTGATTTAAACAACCAAATAAATTCTGTTTTGATCAATGATAAATAATCAACAAACCATAAATAATAAACGCCCACAACTCAGAATGCCACTCCATGGACCCTTCCTTGCCTACCTACCGATTAACCAGCCAGCCAGCCTTTTTGCCAAAGACGCCTTGCGTAGTAATGCTTTCTTCCAATTTCTTGCCATTTTATTTCATCCCATCCATTGCATTGCATCCATTCCAACGAGAAATTTCGTTTCAAGTACCTAACAAGATATTCTTCTCCCAAATCCCCAGCCTATGCTTTTACCTATCCATACCCTTCCCCGTATATCCTTCATTCCCTATCCGCGGGCGCTCCCCCTCCCCCTCCCACCTATTCACAAACCCGCCCCTCTTCACAAAGCCTTAACATCCTTAATTTTCTTCCCACCCAAATCCTTCACCTTCTCCTCCAAATTCTTCTTCGCATGTAATTCAGCCACATCATCACCACCTCCTATACTAACCCCATTAATCAATACATTAGGTACTGTTCTTCTACCCGTTAATTGCGCCAATCTCGCTTGTAATTTTCCTCCGAGGGGATGTTGATCGAGTTCTACTACGAAGGGGAGTGGATCGATGGAGTATTTTTCGAGGAGGATAGTTTTAGCGCGTTTGGAGTGCGGACAGTAGGATTTGGAGAAAATGATTACTGTGGGGGTGAATATATTAGTTATGTTTTAGAGACTGAGATGAGAGAAATAGAAACAGAAATGGGACGAAGAAATAAAGAAAAATGGGAACATACTTGGAGATTTCTTCAAAATGGTATTCAACTCCGTCGTAACCTCTACATCTTCCTTCTCCTCCTCATCCTTCTCCTTCTCCTTAACCACTTCCTGCGCCTTCTCCCCCCCAATCTTTTTCCTACCCGCTACACTCCTTTCACCCTGTCCTTCCGCCGCATTTCCCTTCCCTACCACCTGACTCGGCGGATCCGGTTTAAACGCCTTCGCATTCGCATTATCCTTCGCCTTATCAGCCGCATCCTTTAACCTCTGCGCCATTTGCTTTGCTACTTTATCATCATCATCGCTTTTACCAGCCGTACTACCTGCCCCCGCCTCAGCTACCTCCTGTTTTCCCAACCCTTTCATGGTTTTGGTGTAGAAATCTCCAGTTCCAGCTGCGACATTCCGTTGTTGACGAAGAGAAGATGTGTAAAAGAGGAGAGAAATGACGGCGATGAAGACTAGGAGGCCGAAGATTTTAATTCGTCGCATAGATGCCATTTTGGTTGGCTTTTCCTTGTAGTAAGGAGGATCTGTTCAATTGGAAATTTGTATCATCAGTTGCTTGCTGTTGACGATAATTTGGACTTTTTGGATGGGTGAAAGCTTTACTTACTAGGTTCGTAGTACTTTCCCATTTCAACTGCAGCTGCAATGCAGGACGTTTAATAATTGACGCGGTAGCGGTAGGGTAGGTGGATAGGTAGGTTGGAGCTTTTCGTTTCTTTCTTTCCCTTGTCGTTTTCCCTTTCCCCTTCTCTAATAATAACCTTTAAGCACAGAATTTGTAAGCTTCGAAAGAAGTATTTGTTCGTATATGTAAAAATCGAATAATAGTAGGTAGGTAGTTCTGACCCCTCTCACTCCACAATAAACAGATTAATCAATTCCAAATCCAAATCAAATCTGCCGATAATCCGAGATATATTCTCCTCACTTCATAAATATACGGAGTAGTTACCCAGGTAAGATCTTATATTTGTATCCGAAAAGCCAAACTCACACCAGTGAAACCAAGTCTCGTTTCCACAAAAATCCCAATATAGAATAATTCTCTCTCTGCTCGTGTTGTAATTATCAGTTTGGTGTACGTACTGTAGTATTGATGTATTGATGTTGGTGGACCCAATATTCCCGTTTCGTTTCCAACAGTGTTCCCTCCCTGCAATACTCCGTAGACTAGGATATGTCCCTCCCTCCTATTCCTTATCGTATCGTGAACTATATTTAGTTTAGTTTAGTTTACATCTTAATCTTAATCTCAAATCTTAAAATCTTATTAAACAACCTTTCAATTATCATTCAGAACTAGACCTCTCTACCTACCTAGGTATATACACTTCCGATTTCTGCGTAAAATCAATACACCTGTATAACCAATAAAGAATAACATTAAAAATAATATTTAAAAAGTAATCTTATCTACCTATCTACCTAATCAAAGGTCACACAATATACATCAATATAATAATCTATAATCCGTAGCTCTATTACATACACCATTCCATCCACCCATACCATAAAACATTCCATCCCACTAATGACCCTACACCCTATACCCCTAGCTAATAAACCACCGTTCATCACAAACTTCTAGAAGATCTGACCCTGAACCTTAACACTCCCCAAACTACCTCAATACGAATAGTACGAATCACGAATTACGAATTATACGAGAAGCTATGAGTAAGCATGAACGGTGCTTGATACCTAGTGTACCCAATCTTACATACATACAATTCTTCCATCCAGACTCTACTTCATCCTAGAAGAATATCACTACCTCGAATACCTAGGTACTACAATATAAGGGTATCATCTATTATTTTTATTATGTATTAAGCTAAGTATCTAGAGGCATATTACATAGTTATAGTTATGGTAATCGTACAAGTCGTATCAAGAATCCCATCCATCCCGCTGTGCACCAAGCAAAGCCCCACAAAGTAACTGACAAAGGAAACTTAAATATGCGTGCGTGCAGATCTGCCATCCCATCATCACCTAGCGCCATCAAACTTTTTCTCCTCGCTTGATATCCCCGCTCAATCAATCATGAACATCCCACCGGGAGAACCTCTCATCTGAAAGCTCCCACACTTGCCCTTTCCCTTAAAGTCCTTTTAGTCCCATCACCTCGAGTAGATCCAGTAATCTCGATCCAATCCTCCCATTCTCGCGCGATTTCCATAAGTACACCACCCATCACAGTAGCCGAAGCCATTAAACCATGCCCTTCTCCTTCTAATACCCTTACTTCACACCTCTTCATTGTTTTTCCCAACCATCGAACATTTTCAACAGGAACTCGGGTATCCTTACTTCCATGATGAATAACTGTCGAACGTGTAATATCAACATAACGAAACCCAATCGTATGCCTTCTCTCTAAACACACTAATAAATCCACAGCAGGGTTTGCACCGATAGTAGCAAGGTCCCATATAGCATGTGTTAAACGTGTATCGTAAGTCATTTGCCTTTCTTTGTCGGCTAATGTACTGGCAGCCACTGCTAGTATTGCAGCATCATGATTCGGATCATTTGGATTCCCTGCTGCTTCCTCCATTGATTCTGCCGCCATAAATTCTGGCCTTTTTGAAGGATCAAATTTTTGATTCTCCTTATCTAGACCTGGGGTAAGTACGTTATTCCTACCACTCGGTGTGGGAGTATCTCGAGGAGTACTTGTAGATTTGCGTTTATTTCTTTTTTGCTTAGGAAGACTACTTGTAACTGAGCTACTAGTAGCACTCATGAAACTAGAATTTGCAACCTTGAGTATCGTTGTTGGAAGCGCACGAAGAATACGCTGAGATGTAGGTATAGAGTTTGCAGGTGGGGACACTGTCTGTGTACCAAACGTTGTCAATTGAGAAGGTGGAATCCAAGGAGCAAGAAGATGAATACGACCACGAATGTGTTGTGGCATACGTAACGCTGTTGCAAGAGCATATATTGCACCCGCTGAATGTGCAAGAATGGAGAACTTTGTTATCCTCAAAGCTTGACAAATCGCGTACACATCATCTATGTAACATTAGCACTGAAAAAATAATAATACAGGTTTAAAGCTTACCAGGCCAGCTCAGTGGAGTCGCTGTACCATCAGTATATGGCTCACTTTGTCCAACTCCTGGTCTATCCGGTGTGACTAATCGTAACTTCAGCGCCAAAGCAAGTTCATCATAAAAAGCCGTGATATATCTAGTCAAACCCATTCCAACACAGCAGAATACAACTGAACCCTCTGGATCGCCAACCTCTGAGAATGAGATGGTTCGTCCACTTTGAGGATGCCTGATTTTCTGTGATAAGCGTGGGGAGGCAAGGTAGGCTGTGACGGCATCATCGATGGAATCCGCACTGCTAGGGCGAGCATCAATAAACACAGACGCAGGTCGCGCTGGGTCGGAGGAGACATATTTAGAATCAGGTTTAGATGTATTTCTCTTGAAGGTATCATTGTTTAAATTACCAGGGCTTAAAGGAGCAGACAAACGCTTCAGACGTGAAGTGCTCCGTTTTATCTTTAGCTCTGGTGGTTCAGGTGAAATCCCGCCAGATTGTCTTTTCTGACTAGATGATCGTTTGGATTTGTTGGGACTCTGGTTGCGTTGTGATCTTCGTTGGGTAATAACCGGTGCGGGGGCACACTCAATATCATCCTCAAAAACTAGATGCTCGTTATTCTTTGTAGTCTCCTCAAATTGCTTGTTGGCTAGCGTTGTAGATTCGAGCGATGGAGAAGGTACGGACCCCTCGCTAGGTACTTTTAGATTCGTGGATTCCCCAGATTCCGTCGAGCTTTCCTGCTTCTGATCTGGGCCCTCGTCATATTCATTAGTAGTATTCTTCTGTTTTTCACGTTCCATATCACTTTGTCGACTCGCTAATTTCGAGTCGCGTTTCTTCGTCTGAGCCGCCGGTTTCCGAAGGGAGGAATCTCGTGGAGGTATGAATCTACCAGATCCAATGCCGCCGGGACTATTCGCTAGCGATGGAGACCAAAGACGAGGGACTGGGCTTGTGTTGGTAGTATCGAGAGTGAGTATGGTATGTTTGCCTATTGTGAGAGGTTCTTCAGTGATGGGGGTTTCAGCCATAAAAGATGGCTGATCAAGGTTGGGTATGGCTATACGATCAAGCCCAAGGCCCTTCAAATTTCGTTTCTTGTCCGATGCGTTCTCCCTAAGTCTCTCTTTTGAACTCATGTACATCAACCCTTTATGATTCCTAGCCTGTTTTTTGTCCCAACTTTCCGTGGACCTTTTCCTTTCCAACTTCGGTGTTGGAGGGTAACCAGACTCTATTGATAGATTGCCGATTGTGCTCGACTCATCTTTTTCCTTTGATCCTTGTGAACCCTTCGAACTCGGTCGGCGCAAAAAGTTTTTGAGTGAGTTGGACCTAGAATCTGCGGCAGGCGACTTCGGTGCAGTCAATGGTGAAAAACCTGAGGGAGGTTTCGCAGTCTTAACGACGGGAGGGCTCGCAGCCAATTCATCGAGAGATTCTTCTTCAACAAGTTCGCGCAATGATGGTCGCCTAAATGCGCCGTAGTCTATCCCAAAACTTCCTCCTGAACTTGTCCTAGTATATGATGGTCGCAAGTCTGAATGTGTAAAGAAAGTGGGCGAAGTAGTTGGTGAAACGGATGTTGAGTGATTTTCGAATAGTTCATTCGCAGGAGAGGATATGATGGAAAGTGATGTAATTAGAGAAGATATAACCTCCGGGGACGCGGGTTGTATTGATACACGATTTGAGGAATGCGCCGAGGGACCAGATAGAGATTTTCGACGTCGTGATCGATATGGTATTGGTGGGGGAGTCTCCATGGCGCTGTGTAAGGATCGGAGGTACCGCGCCTACTATAAATGAAGAGTAGTGGTCGGTTTATTAAGACGATTTGATACAAGCATTGACACCACCTCCAAAACCACAAACCACAAACAATTGAAAGATTGTTTCAAAGATCTTGACTATGTTTAACGTGCGAGAAGAATTGGCTTGGTGTGAAATTGGATGATACTCTGTCCGCAATGACTCGCAATGGCTGATAGGATAGGTAAAGGGATTAATATGATATGGTCCGAGAACGTAGGAATGAGTAAATGAAAAATAAATGAATAAATGAATGTTAATCGATTTCGACCGGCACCTTGGGCACCTTAGGCACCTTGAGCACCTTATTGTCAATAATCCAAGAAAACGGTAATGTGCATCAAATATCAAAACAGTCAATGTGCGCAGTCTTTGGAGGTTATAATAATCAGGAACATGCGAGACAGACCCATTTGAAACGTCCTGTTTCCAAAGCTTGAACAGAAAATAAAGGGCCCCTCGGTAGGTTAGGTAAGTGAAAATCAATCGAAACTTCCAAGCTTCTAAAAAGCTTCCAAACTGCTAAACAACTTCTCTCTAATCGACTGTTTCTCAGTGAATTGTCTACAGCTCCATACCCCGTACCTAGTTCAGGTTCAGGGGCATTCACTGCTTATCGCCTCTTTCCAAAAAATATTGATTAACTTTGTCGCGGGGGGAACGTCCCGATGGAAATTTCAATTGACAATGATAGGTTGAATTGCCAATTCTGCCTGCAAAATGCAATGCAGAACATGGATGCTCTTTTCCCGCGAACGCACTCGTGGATGGATGTGATGAATTTGGGTGGGCTTCGTGGAACGCCTTTGATTTGTGCCTTTTATTTTTCTGGGTCGCCAATTTAATCTCGACAGGGCGGCCGGGAGAGGATCACTTGGGAAAGAGGGACCTTGTAGAACATTGATGGAACATTTCAAGAAGACATCGATCAGAGGTAAAATATCTTCTCTAGATAGATAGAGCGATGTGAGGAGAAGGGGGATGGAACAGATAGTGAGGGGGAAATCATTCCATTATATTCAATGCCCCTTTATTGAAACTATATTATACATACCAGTGAGGTATTAACAATAATACCTAATCGGTTACCTGCGCAATTATGCCTTGTATGAACTGTGGCCGCTGGTATCCAGTAATTTGCGAAGGCCATTTTTTTATATCGGAATCCGCTTCTTAAAGTTCCTACAATTAGCAATAGTGGATCTCAGGCTTCTTCTTTCTTCTCTTCCTTACTTCTTTTCATCTACCTAAACGAGGATCAAAAAAGAAAAGAGATCAAAAGGTGGTTCCACTGGTTGTTGCAAGGTCCGAGCTGAGGAAGGGCTTTAATTGCTTAATAAGTCTAAATCATTTCTATGGAGTATTTATCTACAAGTAATAACTTTACAGAATAAAATACAAAGTACAGAGTACAGAGTACAGAGTACTTCAAGCGGCGGGTAATATTCCTTCACCTTACTAAAAGACCCCTGATGCAGTAGCAAAGACAAGTATTATTATAGCCGAGCATTCCTCCACATGGGAAAAAGTGGACATAAAATCAGGAAACGTCAGTGTTATGACATCGTCACCACGAGGGGTCAATTTTTGAGCAACTTAACTTAAACTATGGGGCGGGCCGTTCGTTGGCATAACTGCATACTGCCGTACAGAGTAAAGTAAATCTTCTTCATGTTCCCCACCATCTGAAAGTATAAGGTTACAGAATATTTGAGACATCTCATAGCTTTTGTACATCTTTAACTTACTTATTTGGAAACATTCATAAGGTTACATAAGGTTCTTACATCTTTCTAAACAATCTTTCGCAAAAACAATCTCCATCATGGATGCACTGCTATCGCTTCCGGTGGTGGGATACTTTCTCATGCCATCAGTATCAACATACTCAACATCTTTAAACGTCCTATTCTTTTACATGACATGGTCAACTCTCGTGCTCTCACATTCGGCTTTAAAGGTCGAGCTAGTAGGGACCATTGGCATCAGACTATTATTCTTCATAATACCATCATTATTATTCCTCCTCTTCGATTCCATCATACCAAGTTTATCGGTGGGAGTTAAGCGGCAAGGAAAACAAGCATTACCTACTCGTACGGGAGGAATAAAAGTATCCAGGTCCAAGGTTCCGAAATGGTATGAGGTCGTTGGGATCAGCATATTCAATATCTTGCTTGGAATTGGCATTCAAGCGGGACTGGAAATGTTCCTGACGGAAATCTTACACTATAAAACTGCGCTAAGAGTCACTACCACATTACCCATGCCATGGTCGATCGCCAAGGATGCTTTAAAATGTCTTCTTGTCCGCGAGGTTAGTGATAATCTTAATAGATGCTTTCTTGGTGGTCTCTCACGGCTGACCCATTTTTTATACAGGTCCTACAATACTACACTCACCGTTACATTCTCCACGCTCGGTCTTCAAACTTCCTCAGCAAGGGTCACAAGACTTATTTCCACTCCATCACTTCTCCATATGCATTCGTCGCACATTACGATCATCCAGCCTCCTACATACTGTTCCGCTTCATTCCCATCTATCTCCCCGCAGTAGTTTTTCGTGTCCACCTCCTTACCTATCTTCTTACTCTCTCCGTCGTCACTTTAGAAGAAACACTCGCATCATCCGGGTACACCAGCATTCCCGGTATTATTCTTGGTGGTATAGCACGTCGACAGGATCTACATAGTGAGAGTGGCGGAAAAGGAAATTTTGCACCATTGGGGTTGTTGGATTGGATTCATGGAACTAGCATCGGGCCTGGATTCGAGGAAGATATTGCGGATGAGGCTGAAAAGCATCAAATCAAGAGCCGAAGTAAAAAGGCAATTTCTAATGGAAAAGAGGGTATGAAATCATTAACTGGGAGAAGAAGAAGTTCTAGGAAGGGTTAAGATTTATTTTTGTTGCCAAGATGGACTGTCTTGGTTTTGTCTGGTATTGGAGTTTGGGATACGTTTGGTTTTACGTTGAGATACCCATGACTTATGACTCTACAACTCTTGCTATATATGTATCTTTTATAAATTCCTCATGATAGCAATTTAGATCACCAGATTAAACAGAAATTTCCTCATTCAAAGTCCCAAGTACATCTACAAGTAGGTGCGTACCATCAATTTAGCAACCATCTATCTAGTTACACCTAAACTGATACTCTCCTCCATTTCAGTTATCCTCTGAACAAGAATGCATCCATCATAAATACCATCTATCAAAAGATTCAAAGCCAGGTATTTAGCTGGCTAACCCTTTACTACAGAAAACAAGAAAGACAGATGTTACCATGTTTAAGACCTAGGAGATTCGAACAATATTCCAATCTCTACCTTCTAGTATTGAAATGCTTCTCAACCCCTCTCAAACTGAAACTTAAAACCCATTGTATATAACATCTATACTCACATCCTCCCACACCATCTCCAAATCAAAAAACCAAAAAAGTATGATAATAAGTATCAGCATCCTATAACCAAAAACAATCAAGTCAACCCTCTCCATCTCTCTTCACACCCAACTTCCCCTACCTGGTAACACACCCACAACTCCCTCAAATCGCATCCTTCCAAAAAAAAAAAAAAAAAGCACCTAATCTAAACTTCCCAAACCCAAAAAATTCCCTTCCATTAAATTTTCAATCTCGTCGAAGCCAAAAATTTTCAAAATTGAAGTCAAATCTATCTACTGTATCTACCTAGATACTTAGTTTTAACCATCACATCAGTGAGTGAGTGGGGCTGTCTTTTTTCTCCGTCCAATCCTCTTTCCGCAAAAAAAACCACACCAGTTTAGTTAGTTGTGAGTGGGTGGGTCTGTCTTTTTTCTCCATCCAATCCTTCTTCTGCAAAAAAAAACCACACCATTTTCAGATATGCAACAAATAAATTTTGTACGTAGGAAATGTGGGAAATGTATATCACGGGGTTTGGGGGTGTTTGATTGGTGTAATGGGTCGGATCGGAGCGGATGGACTTTGGTTCCGTGGTGTGGAGTGGAGTTGGGTTGTGGGGTTGATTGGAAATACTTCCTTGCATACATAGAACATGGGACATTTTGACTGCACAAGGCCAAGTATCACGTACGGAATACATACCATACTCTGATATCGATGCATTGTAGCTCCAAGTTCTCCTATGCTATTGCGGAGGTAGTGGGTTATGCCACGAGCTTGGCCATGGAGATTTTTCTATTTTTTTTTATTCCTTTTTAATTGTGATTTGTATGTCAGATACCGCTGATGTATGTGGTGGGGGAATATGAATTTTTTAGATGGTTTTCCAATTTTAGTGTACTTTGTTATCTTACTCTACTGGTTTCTAGAAGTTGAATCGTGATTCTTCTGTTTGTATGGAATTGATATATGTAGTTCTATCCTTTTAACGGATACTTAACTAGTTACTGGGTGGTAGGAGAGTGCAGGAGTTTTGCGTATGCCGTTTTGGTTTCATAACGCAAGAGGAGAAGAGGAGAAAAGGGAAGGAGCTACCTTTGATCTCTTATAAATGAGATGATTTCTTTTTTTTTTTTTTGAAATTTAGTTTCCTGCTACTCGGAATTTTCTGATGCTTATGAAGTTGAGGTTAAGAATTTGGACTCGGAGTCGCAAATGGTGGAACTGTATTCCTTTATGGATTTGGTAATGATCTTGTATTGAAGAGATATTCAAGAAATAATGGTCCTGATTTTATGGTTCATCATCCGTCTTGATATTATTTGTCTTTTCTTGAGAAGACTCTTTCCATGTTGCATGTTACAAATACCAGCAACTTGGTGTCCAGATATTTGGAAAGTATATATTTTTGTCTCTTTCTCATATTTCTGAGCCTGTTTATATATCAACAAGACTTGGTAACGATTATTCCATCAGAGCCAATCTCCATCAATAGATTATGTCTTTTGTTAGAATTGAGGTCAGAATCAAGGTGGGTATATAGCTCTGATTTGGGAGCTACTGTTTTAAGTGAGAAATATGAGGATTGCAAGTACAATCCTTGAGTATCAGTAACATCTTTGGTATATCTAAATGATATGATATGTTTCGCAATCTCCATTCTATCAGAGAGGCTTATAAAAATTGATGAAATTTTGATGAGGATTGAATGTCCGAAGGGTCTTCGCTTAATCAATCCTCTCACCTTCAGAAGAATCACCCCTTTTAATAAGTTATCAATTATTCTCTAATTGGATATTCAAGGTTACTTTCAAGATGAGTTTTAAAGGAAAGTTTTGTAAGTTCATTTGTATCTTGGTTTTTTATTGTACTAAGAGTATTTTTTTATGTTAATCATATGTACAGTAAGGTTACAAGATTTGAACACTAACTTTTCTTCTTTAGTAAGCTGGGTTTCAAGATATCTATTGAGTATTAATATCCAGAGATACAAAATCATCCTTAAGACTTAGTCTATAAGTAATGGGCTCGAACTCTGGCTATACAAATATACTAATAGATATCTTAGTATCGGTCCTATATTTTGGTCATCGCTCTGGTTTGTTGTTATTTCCATAGAAGCACCGAGAAGCTCGTCCAACAAGGTCTTTCATCGACTCACACTCTTCTATCTTTCTCCATTGCTTCCTTGGTCTTTTCACCTTTTCACACTTGTACATACAAAAAATCAATAGGCACACATACCGAATTCCTTTTCGATATTCTCTAGTTGTCAGTCAAGAGGTTGCGTGTTTAATTCTCTTATACAACATAAAACCGTGTTCCTTCCGGTTCTTGTATTATACAGCTCTCTAAGTCTTCATCATCACAGAGAAGATACTATTACCGCGTGTTGTATCACGCGTCCCCTCCACGGCAATTGTTTACTGAGCTTTGAAGCATCAACTCTTACGCTAAGCCCTACTTCTCATGTCTCGCTCTCTCACGAATAATCTACTAGCCTCTAACAGAGGAGTGGAATTACCAGCAGATATATGCCTGCGCGTTGTCGATCTTGTTATTCATGACGCACCCAAGAATATCGTCTTATTACTAAAGCTTTCACGTGTAAGTTATGCACAAACTCATTTTATACATAAACCATCCCCGCTGCCAATTATCATAACCATTACTGATCAACTAACTTCTTCCAGTCCTTTAAAAAGCTCATCAAGACATACGAAAGAGCACTCACCAAAAATGCCGCCAGTCTCTACGCCAACTCTCAAGTAAACCAACAAACCCATCTCATCGCTCTCAGCCAACCCAAATCCAACAGCTCATGCTTTGCGCCAAACTTCCACCTCAACCACACATTCGCCTGGCTCCTAGAAGTCCAAACCCGTTCCAGAACAACCCACGAAATAATCCAAGACCCATTTTCCCAATGCCACACCCCCACCATCTACTGGGCCAACGGCACCAGTTTCAATCCCCCCAGCCTTCCCATCCCGCCCCCAGAACTCGAACTCCGCATGAAGAAATTCAAACAAGAAGCCCTGAGACTCCTCTACGAACTCTTCGACGCAACCCAAGGTATCCAAAACGAATGGCGCGCACGCACTAGACAAATAAACCATCTCGTCCATCTCAGCACCCCCGAACTCGCAATCCTCTGCATCTTCATCCCCATCTTGGGATTTAATCTCCTCGAAAAATTAAAAAATGACTCAATCAATACAAAAAGAGAAGTCATAATCTTCCAACATAATCTTATCCGTTATGGTCCTGTAGTAGCTTGGTTACATATTTCGTCTGGGATTAAATGTGAGAGGATGGGACTTGGGAAGATGATGGTGTTGAATGAGTGGTTTAAGGGGAAGCAGGTTGAAGGGGTGGAGTTGTTGAGGAGGTTTGAGAGGGGGGGAACGAGGGAGGCGAATATGATGTTAGTGCTTTGGAGGGTTTTTGGGGAGAGGGTGGATGGGCTTAACTTTGGGGTTTGGGGGGTGGGGAGGGGGGAGGGATTGTGGGGGGTTGCGAGGGGATTGGTGGAGAGGAGGATGGAGGCGTATGTGCTTGATTGAGTTGTTGGATGAGAAGGGGCGGAAGGGGTTGTGGTATGTTTTTATGTCTGGAGTTTCTGGAGTGCACTAGGTGGTTTATGTATGTATGCTTAGATTATGAGTCGCGAGGCATTGAATAATGTTTGGTATATGATCATTGATGAATAAGGGGGATATTATATTGTCAGAACTGGTTTGTAATTTTACAATTCGATAGGTATACTCTGGATGGACTAAACGGAACTGGGACTACAATAACAGCTAAACAGCTGGCTATATACTCTGTATCACGCTCTAGGATTAGGGTTAGGATTAAAATTAGGCTTAATGTTACGAGGTTTGCCGTCTAGATCACGTGGAAGTGCTCTAGGCTCTCGAGGTGGTTTATAACTAGGCGTCAAGCAGGGACTTAAAGTAATGACAATAATGCAATTCGTAACTAATAGTAGAGTATACTAAATGATTGATCTTGAGCACGAAGCTCTATACAAAGGAAATCCATCTTGATTATATAGACCTTCATGCCTATCGTTCCTTCGGTCCCTTCGATCCCTTCGGTAAAGGGATCGAAGGGATCGAAGGGATCACATGACTTCGTACGTGGTCATATGATACGAGGCCAGAAGCCGTCGTAACAATTAATTATAAACTAATTTCTTTTCCTCTACTTTAATTACACAGAATAAATTAAAAACTTAACATCATATAGGTACCTAGGTAAGGAGATAAAAAGTAGTATAATATAAGGTTACTTAGTAGGTAGTCATGAGAAAATTGGTGATACTTCGTGTGACGGAAACCCCTGCTTTCCTCCCACCCTTATTATATAAGAAACCTCAGGTACATTAACCATGTCCACACATGATACGATTACTCGGGATTAGTATACGATTTAGGTGGTCTGAAAATCAGATCCGGACAAGTACTAGGTATCAATGGTTATCGGTAAAGTAAGATCATTGGAGGGATAAATATGACTTCTTTTTGCCTAGCCATTGCGGCTAGGCCATTCATTTGTGTGTATATAATAGTAGCTATCCCCATCTACAGGTGCTCTCCACCTGTAGATTCTAAGTTAAATACAATTGCTGGTCTATAAACACCCTTTTGGTCACACTTCGGTAGATAGGTAGATGGTTGATTTTGATAATATTTAAAACGGGGGGACGGATTGGTGAAGAGGTTGACGCTTTGGAATTCAAAGGTGATGAGCAAGCCGGCCGTTAGAATCATCGAATTCTTGGTCTTGGATATTTGATGATAATGGGGATAGAGCTAGGGTTTTAATGTAATTTGTTTGTAGTAAGGAGTAATACGAAGATGATGATCTATTTAGATTAGACCGTTTTTTTGTACCTCGAAGAAAATTTGAGTTTGGCTTATTGTCTAGACTTTACAATAATTATAGGATATTTTTTAGTACTTGAGATTATGGAATATTATCAGAAGTGTATTATCCCAATGGAAATTGAAGACTTCAACTTGAAGTCGTCCTACCTCCTTCTGATGTATAACTAATCGCAAAGATTAAAATATATACCTTCAGACTCACGAAAATAACCTCATTAATCCGATCAACTAAGAGATGGGAAAACTTCAGAGCAAGAGAAGCGCAGAAGTTCCCCTTATACTATAAAGACATGAAAAGAAGAAGATTGAAGAGCCTCAGCTTGGCAAAATTAGCCATTTTTTCAAGAGCGGATATTGTATGGAATTGCTTACTTGTAATTGATGTTTGAGATGAACAGGGGGTATAAAGGCCTTTTTATTATAATAGCGTGTATAAAAAAGGAGTGTTTACCTGTATGCAAAGGACTATTACGGACTATTCGCACAGGGAGAAGAATAGGCGGAGCAGTATCAGTAACAATCGACATAGGGAATAAAAAAAAACGAAAAGAGATATAAGGAACGAGATGAGCTGGAATCGGAAATTAAAAAGTATGGATACAGGCTAAAAATCATGTGATGTATTGCTATTATAATATTTCTCAAGTTTTGGAGTATCTTTAATCTGTGTTGCAACCGTAGGACCTCGAAAATAATTTCTTTCCGTTTCTAGGAATGCTTAAGTTTCGAGTGTTACTACTTCTCGATCATCGTTTCAACAAATGAGACTTCAGATACAGGGAAGCGGGAGAGACATCAAAATCATAGACGTGAAGGAGTCAACACTACCATCACAAACTCATCCAATATACTTTTCTCCTCTCCCTTGATCTCAAAAACAAGATAAAAAAGACAGAAACAGACAATTGTTTTAACAAAACATTATTTATATAGATCAAAGACTTCATCAAGGGAATCAAGGAAAACATCACAAAGAAATCACAGGGAATAACAGAAAAAAAAGAACTTTTTGGGTTTAATAATATAGTGAAGTTTAGGAAATTGGTCAATTTGGTAGATTGATCAGAAAATGAGAAATGAAATAATGAAATAAGGAAAGAAGGTCATAAGGAGAGAAAGAACAGCATGCTAGCAAACAGCTCAAAACTAAGTATCTTTGTGGACATGCCTCAAAAATACTTGCATCATGTTACTGAGCACTTACTTACAAACCAGTAATTCGAAGACCATCAGTAAGTAAATGGAAGAGAGTCTAAGCAAGCGATCAAGAAAAGAGAGAACCAACTCACTGATCATCATCATCATCATCATCATCCTTACCTCTAAGCTCCGCCTCACAAATAGCTCTCATCATCTCCAACCTCTCGAACTCCTCCTCAACCCCATGCAAAAATTGGGCGGTGAATTGCGTGGCTTCCGATTCACACAGAGTTTGCAAAGATTCCAAGAGATGCAATTCGTCCTCCAAACTTTCCAACTCCCTCATCAACTGATCATGCTCCAGCGCACTCTTCCGTACCGCTCCCGCTTTCTCAGCGGCTTCTGCTTCGGCTTCGGCTTCTGCCTCGGCAAATTTAGTCAACCTCTTAAAGTCATCACCAACTCCCGCAGAGCGAATTCATTTTGCCCCAACGCCTCTGGAATCGCCTCTTCTTGAACTTCTTGAATGGGCGTCCATCGGATAAAGACTCTCTGAGGAGTGTATACCCGCTGTGGCCAGGGATCTTGCTCAAAGAGTTCACCGCCGCGTAGATGTTTGGGTTGTTCGGCAATCATTGCTCGAGTGACGACTGCCCATTTGGTGTCCGTGTCTTCGGTACGTTTGACTACCTCGAGGAAGGCGATTTCGCTTGCGACCCAGGATGTGTAATCGGCCATTTTTGCGGTTGTTGGTATTGTAAGGTTTGTGTGGAACTTAAAAGACTTAGAAATCTTTATTTATCTAGATGGTTGTATGAGTTTTGTCTGGATAGTTTCTAAGAAGTTGATGGTTGATGATAGAATAAAATAGTTACTGACCTGGAATTGCATCTCATTTATAGGTGGACTCTACATGTCATTCAGATACTGTTCGGCTCCTGTCCTGATATTGTATCTTTGTGTGATCGAGGTACTCTCAAACTTTCAGCAATTCAAACTCTGAACAAATACTATTCGAGAATTGTTCTACACTGCTTTGTTCTTACAGCTTAAAGTGGTCTATAGTAGCACATGTCTGATTTTTGTAGAGCTTATGGAGTCTAGTACCAATAAATTTAATTCATATATCCCTTAAATTATACCCCCATCCCAACTTAGACGCCAAGAACATACGCTACAACTTGCTTGAATTGCCGCCTACAGGTTTCATTAAAGCTCTTCCATTACTCAAGCAAATCTTTCCACCTTCCACTCTGGTGATGAATCGAATTTCCTCCCATCCTTCTTTGATTTCTCCTGTTTTCCAGATCTCGATGATTAATTTATCACCAGGTTTGACTGGTGATGCAAATCGACATGAGAATTCTTTGATGTTCTTGGGGTCACTACCACCAATAGCTTTAAGAATTGCATGAGCAGTAAAATTCCATGATGAAAGACCATGCATTATAGGTCCTCCGAAGCCCATCTTCTGACCTGGCTCAGGTGTTGCATGTAAGGGATTGTAATCACCGTTCAATCTACCATTTCAGACCCATTAGTCAGAGACCACAACATTCAGCGAAGAAGTAGAATCATACCTATACAATAATGCACTTTCCTTAGTAGTCTGATGTTCCATCACAGCGTCTGGCTTCTTTCCTTCCGGAGGGGGGAAATTTTGAGTCGCCGGGCCCTTGGGTCCATTCCAATTACCCTGACCAACAAAGAATGAGGACCCAACAGCTCTGCTATAAACCTCTCCGCTATTTTTATCCACTATCTCCTGTTGCGTCTCAACAACCGTGCCAGCCTTTCCTTTGTCATATACACCGATCACTTTAGAGCGGAGTTCAAATGTTTTACCAGCTGAGGTAGGAGGGAGTGGTTTGAGGAAAGTCATTGAACGACCTCCATCAAGGACACGCGTGTAGTCGAATTTAGGCACACCTGGAATTGGAGTTGCGGAGGAGGCGGCATAAAAGTCAATTACTTCTTGGGTTGTATTTTTGAATGCTTGGGAGATGTTAGCTGGTTCATAGAACAATGAGGGAAAAAGGACGGACTCACGAAGAATAACAGGATAAGTTGGGAAGACGGCAAAGTTAGGATGTAATTCCTACAGTTTGATTAGTCTGAGCCCTCTTCCAGTTGAGTATCAGATGCTTACGTATAAGAAGTGTAGCTCATCATTCGTACATCCAATGGTGTTGGCAAAGAGCAAAACATCTCTGGTTAACCAAGAAACCTCCTCTGCAGGATATTCGAAACCAGCGCCTGGACCAGACATTCTGATGGTATGTATTGATTTGACTGTTAGTGTCTTTGTTTTTCTGGGAGAGTTGATACTTGAGGATTGAGACTTGGATTGAAGAGTATGGGATAAGAGATAAAAGATAAATAAAAGACGGGAGCACCAGAGAGCTTTACTTGAGTACTCGTAGCTAAGGTTACCCCGGAATTCCGTTTTGTGATCTCCACAGTTCGGCCATTTCTCATCTGCCGAGGTATCTTCGGAGAAAGGAGAAAAGCATAACCTTATTTAAACATGTTGCACTAGAGTAGGTCAACGTCAACGTCAACGTCATCACAATTAGAGATTACATGTGTACTTGATATCAAGACCTAGAACATCACCCATATTTTTCTTTGTTCAAAAATCTAAATACCTACTCGAGTAAGAGATAAAGTTTTCTTAAGGAATATAGCTTAAGTGGTGAATTTGGCGTCAGATTGATAGAGGGGGCAAAGCTCTAGAGTCTACACCCCTTGCGGAACGATTGTAAAACATGGAGAATTGACGCCGCTATTCATTCTTCTACTTCTCCTTTCTCCTTCATTGAAATGCTTTTCGAGTAAATTTACATGTCACATAATCATAATGAAAGCGTTGGCACAATGAGATCACATTAGTTATACTCAAGTTCATTGGTTAGATGCATTCTATCGAAACCTTATTAAAACGGACTCAATTTTTTTTTAAATGTCGATGTAAGAAAAAGCTCTTAAAGGTGAGTCTTGAACCTTTCAAACCTATCTCTCCGCGCCAGTAAGCAAAGAACTCTGGAGTCAAGGACATTTTCGGTCCATTCTCGCCCCGTAACTGTAACTGAAAACTTGAATAAGGCCATTACGTCAAAGTATCGATCCTTCCCACGATCAAAAAGCAAAAGAAACATTAGCCCCGCATGAGTTCGCCTTAGTAAATCTCAATCCCCATAACAAAAGATCCCGAATAGGTCTTGTGGTATCACCCACTTAACTGACCGGTAGGTTCTCCATTTTGCCCTTGCCATCGGCAATCCACTCAGGTTCGATGAGTTTCTCTCGATCGGCATACAAGTATTTGTAAGCCGTACGAATAGTACCATCGCTAACACCAGCTACTTGGGATATATCCTTTGCAGACTTTGGCTTCCCGAGAAGAGCTGATGCCATGTAGATACAAGCGGCTGCCACTGATAGAGGTGATCTACCAGCGAGATCACCAACGGTAGAAACCTTCTCAGCGAGGCCTTGAGATACTTTAACGAACTGTTGACTCTTAAGACCAAGTTGACTGCAGTAACGAGTACAGAGGTCTTTGGCATTGGTTGACGTGGTTGTTTGGTAACTCTCTGTAGATGCAGGAGCTTGAAAGCAATGTTAATATATACCAGTATAAGATCATCAGCTTATACGACTTACCACCAACGGCTTCAGCCCTCGCCTTCTTGGCTGAACTATCTGAAGCAAAGAATTTTTCAAGTGCTTTGAAAGTTCTACCAATATCCTTCTTCGAAACCTTTGTCAAGGCATAAATTTCACGAAAGGTTCTAGGGACATCGCACTGACGGCAAGCGATAAAGATGCAGCCAGCGATGATGGCTTCTTGGGATTTACCTTTGAAGGCTTTAGCATCATCGACAAGTTTGAAGAGATGCTTCGCGGTATCGGAAACGTTCTTTGGAATGTTAACAGCGTCGCAATGAGCACCGATTTCCTTGTAAGCCGCAAGTAAAGCCTTGGTTGATTTATCTGTACCTTGTTTACCTTGAGCACGGTAAAGTTCCCGACTGCGTACGGAGCTGTCACCAAATGCAATTGTTGTGGAAAGTTGAGAACCATTCAAAAGAGGATTAGCAGCGTCACCAACACGGGATGGATCATCATTCCCCTGATCATCGTTGGAGAATGTACGCCATTCGGAGCGTGTATCAACAATCCGATCACCAATGACTACACCACATGTATCGCAGACCAAGTCTCCAGAAGAAAATTCCTCGACGAGGTTTGGTGGAATCTCCTTGCAGTCCTTGCACATAACCGTGACATTCAAATTTTGACTCCATTCTGTTGTCTTGTCCAATGGTGGCGGGGCCATCATCTTTGGTTTGTACGGTTTTGGTCGATAGATATTATCAAGTTTGTTGAAGACGGGACGTCTCTTTGGCTTGCGACGGACTTCTGTTCTTTTTTTCGTGACAGCTAGACGGGTCCTGATATCCCCTGTAGCTTTATCGCAGAGAAGTGTAGTTGAAAGCTTGATGAAAAGCGGAGAATGCAGTTTGGCGGTATTGTGGGGAAATTAAGGTGAGTTGGTGAATCGAGACAAGTCCGATAACGGTAATCAAGGGTCCCTTGACGTGTGATTCAAAAACTCGGTCAAACTGAAGGTGAGCTGAGTATCGAGAAAGAAGAATAAAATACGTATATTGACGGTGGATATTGCAGAGTAAATCAAAGTTCGTATAAAGGAGACGCGTGTGGCGACTCGATTGTGATGTAAACTGCTTTGGCAAAGTCAAAACCCTGTCGAGATGCGATTTATTCTCTCGAAAAAGGATGTACTTCAGCGGAATGCGCGAATCTCGTCGAGTGAAATTCAGGTCGAATAGATTAGGTGTTGTAAAGTAGAATAGTATGGGATGGGAAGATGCGCTTGCTGCTTTCGTCGACGTATTTGAAGATTTTCGCAGAACAAATGACCAGTGAAGGCGTCCGTGAATAATGTATCAAAATCGTTGTTGGAAGCTGTCAGAATTATCGTTGTAAAGATGACCGGCAACTTTGGGATTGTCCAAGAACGATAATGTTACAGTCTTCTGTTGATGTTGCGAGCGAGCGGTGGTGGTTGTCGAAGAGGATATGGTTAAGGTCGAAGAAGGAAGAGAAGATTCTTCCAAAAACAAAGAATGTCAGCCGCATTGGTATCGTACTAAGATTTCTAAATTTGTCATCCTATCACGTGGCACAGCTCACTTGTTATTTTTTGTCAGCCTTGAGCCACGCCTTCTTTTGGTTGCCTTACAAGTACAGTATTAAGTGGCTCGCTAATATATCGCGCCGAAGCTCCAGGTCGGTTTGGAAGCTCTTAGGTATTCAAACAACAATATTCGCAGCTCAATACATTTACTGTTATTTCGTCCCATCAACATTCTCTTTACACCTCAACTCATACTTCCTTTTCGAACTCGTCAATCACAACTTCAACTATAAAAATGTCTACATTAGAAGATCTCGATGATCTCGAGAGAGAGCACAAGGAGGAGAAGAAGGACGATGGCGACAAGGACAAGGACAAGAAGCCAAATCAAGCTAATGATGGTGATGCTGAAATGAAGGATGCCGAACCTGAAAAGGAAGAGGATCCAATAGATGAAGAGATATATAGCTTGGGAACACAAGATATTCTCACGAGAAAACGACTTTTGGAGAATGATTCCCGAATTATGAAGAGCGAGTTTCAACGTTTATCACATGAGAAGGCTACAATGGGGGAGAAAATCAAGGACAACCTTGAAAAGATCGAAAACAACAGGTAGGTTCACCTGTCAAACAGGCATATAGTTATCACAGCTTAACCTTCTAACTTTCTGCAGACAATTACCATACCTCGTTGGAAATGTTGTTGAGCTACTCGATCTTGATCCAACAGCCGAATCTGCTGAAGAAGGCGCAAATATTGATCTCGATGCTACCAGGGTCGGAAAATCCGCGGTTATCAAGACTTCCACTCGACAAACCATATTCCTTCCATTAATAGGTCTTGTAAATCCAGATGAGCTGAAGCCAGGTGATTTGATTGGTGTCAACAAGGATTCATATCTCGTATTAGATACATTACCCGCAGAATATGATAGCAGAGTCAAGGCGATGGAAGTCGATGAGAAACCCACGGAAAAATACACAGATGTAGGAGGATTGGACAAACAGATTGAGGAGTTGGTTGAAGCAATTGTATGGCCAATGAAGGAAGCTGATCGCTTTAAGAAGATTGGCATCAAGGCGCCCAAAGGTTTGTTGTACATGCCATCCGCGCATAACTAGATGATACTGACAATTGCAGGTGCTCTTATGTATGGCCCTCCCGGTACTGGAAAAACACTCCTCGCAAGAGCTTGCGCTGCACAGACGGATGCAACTTTTCTCAAACTCGCCGGTCCTCAACTCGTACAAATGTTCATCGGTGACGGTGCAAAGCTGGTGCGAGATTGTTTTGCATTAGCTAAGGAGAAGGCACCAGCAATTATTTTTATTGATGAATTAGATGCTGTTGGTACGAAGCGTTTTGACAGCGAGAAAAGTGGAGATCGTGAGGTACAAAGAACTATGTTGGAGCTGCTAAATCAACTTGATGGATTCGCTTCGGATGATCGTATTAAGGTATTGGCAGCAACCAACAGAGTCGATGTTCTCGATCCTGCTTTACTTCGTTCCGGTCGTCTTGATCGAAAGATTGAGTTCCCTCTGCCAAACGAAGAAGCTCGCGCCCAGATTTTGAAGATTCACAGCCGTAAAATGACTGTCGATGATGCTGTCAACTGGCCTGAATTGGCAAGAAGTACAGATGAGTTTGGTGGAGCCCAGTTGAAGGCGGTATGTGTGGAAGCTGGTATGATTGCTCTTAGAATGGGAAAGAACAAAATCAGTCACGAACATTATGTCGATGCCATTGCGGAAGTCCAAGCGAAGAAGAAGGGTATGTTTCAACTACTCTATTCAATGTTTTCTTCAATACTGACCTCGTTACAGATACTGTCAACTTCTACGCATAATGTGACTATTTTAGTGGCGTTTAGCATATCTTGCACTGCGAGCCTTGTAATCATAGACAAATCATGACACTTTAAATATGACCAAATAGGTTTCCTGGAGAAGTCGAGTAACTCGTGATTGATGAGAGTCGATGGTCGTACATTAATGAAAACTGCCAGTCTTTTACTTTCCGGCATGTGCCGATATGAATACCTGAATTTATCTCTTTGGAATATGTGAGAATCTATCTTCCTACAGATCTTCTGTCAGGGAGGGACTTTTTACATTGGAGCGGATCCTACATAGCTCTATTAGAAACTGCCTATATCAGATGTCCACAAGTGTGAGGGAAACAGATCCAAGCCATTGGAGCATCACATATGCCATTTGAGAAAATTATACTTTTTGAAGGCTAGTTCTTTCCTATCTAGTAGATAGTGAAAGAGCTGATGTTATCCCAGCTGGGAATAGACACAACACACACCTCAAGTTCAACTTCAAAATTCAAAGTCACCTGCAAAGTGGCTTTGTAAGCATTAATCCACTACCTATTCTTTCTTCCCAACTTAGCATCCTAGAACCCCCACGCGCGACATTGCTGCTTGAAGAGCTCTGACACATCAATTGCCTGGTATGGAACAAAGCGATAACTTGTATTTGTAAATTTTTTGCCCATGAACTTCTTGTCGGAAATGTGGAGTGCGACGATGCTGCAATTTCCGTGTTGAACGAGTGTATTTGCAACAATTCCAGTCTCCAGCGATGGATTGGTGGATAACGCCGGCCGCTAATACGATGCGAACGATCGCATTTAAGTTACGGATGTGTTGCACAAATTCAAGAATCGTTTTGCCTTTGTAGATTATGGAATCTACCAATACCACAGTGATCTTGCCCTGAAGGTGCTCGGGCATGATGTCCTGAGGATCCTTGGCGTGGAGGAGCATAGCGACAGGAAAGACGTCATTTATTCCGAGGGCCATGGGCTCTCCACCGGGCATTAATGCAAAGATCGATGTTTGATTGTCGCGCAATAATCGATGGCCAATGGTCTGATGACCTTGAACATGTGGAGTTTCGTGCGACTCAAGGCCTATCACTGCAGAGATGAGCTCAATTGCGAGATAGCGACCCATGGTGCGAGGATACTTTCCGAGAGCGGGGCTTTTGTTCGCCGCATCGCATGTGGGTGTCATCAACGACTTCGTGGCGTTCTTATCTGTTGTATGAATGACCTTGAGCTTTGCATGCCGACCATGGCGGCTAAAAATCAACTCCAAGAACTTCTGGTCGGTGAGCTTGATCAATGGAAGCTTTTGAGTATCCAGTCTTGGCAATACATTGTGGGAAATGATTAACTGGGATGCATGAAGGCCGTCGTTATCGATGGCATTCAGTAACTCTGCTTCCATTTCCTTGCTCCTCTTACCCACCTCGCCAACCACAACTATGGCCTTGTTTGCCGCCTTTAACATACCCAAGTCCATGGGGCTATCTCCAAAAGCGCAAAGATACGTCCTGTTACTCAATCGCAAGCGGTCGACCAAGCCAGCTTTCGCTCCAGCTGTGACAAGTATTTCACAAGGCCCATCCCAGATACGTCCTCCCACGATGACCTTGACTGATTTGGACAGGCCTTCTTTCTCTAAGACCTTTTCCCAGATACGATGCTGCCCACAGCTGATAATTACGGCACCGATATGCTTCTCTGCTGCGACGGATTGCAGTAAGGACACAAATTCTTGGTGTATGTTCACAATCGAAGCTACTTCTTGACAGATATCATCATTTTCTGCTTCGTCCATCAATTCGCTGTAGACAAGAGCGGCTTGGCGAAACGCTGCACATGAGTAGCTTAAGTTAGATCTGAAAAATAATTTGAGCAGAGATTGGTTGTTGGGAGCCTCGGGCCCATGCCTTGCAATCCATTTCTGCCAGAATAGTGCACCAGTGTCCTCTGCAACCAGCGTTCTATCGCCATCCATGACTAGCATGATTTTTGGCCAGCCTTGGTTGCTAGAAAATTGAAACTTGTCTGCTAGCATGGCATTGGCGATTTCAAGATTTCTTGTCTCGAAACCATTCCAAACATCCGTGACCACCTTGAAATCGTGTGATACTCCCACGCAGATGAACGCAACAGCGTATTTGCAGCAAAGTTCGTGAAACACAGCTATATCACTCTCATGCCATTTACTGAGATGCTCAATTGATGCTGCTGGTCGAGTTCTTTCCTTGTCATTCAAAGCGGTATTGCTGAACAAGTGCGGGGGGTACCTGAAGATAGATTATGTCTGTGTAGACCTCTACATCTGCAGAGGTCCAAAGGAGTACGGGCTCATCAGTACCTTCCTCCCAGAAGGTTGAGTTTCATTCAACAACTGCAGCGCATTCAAACTCAGCCTACTGGTCGCTAATTTTGCGAATAGCAGTTCTTCGATAGTGTTTCTGATGCTCGGGGCTCATTTTCTTGAAGGCTTCCAAACCACCTGGAGTAACTTCGTTGATCACTTGGGAGTCATCATAAAAGACGAACGGACAGTCTTTAAGCATTTTCAAATATTTAAAGGTGTATGATTTGCCCGCATCCGGAAATTCCACAGATACCGATGACTGTGCCTTTCTTGTATGGACCGAATGCCTCTTTCGTTGGAATTGCCATTGCATCTGAATTATTCCTGCAGCTTTCAGACATTGTAGATATCCCTTTGAGTCTGGGATCTAAAGGATGAAATAGACTCAATTCTGATTTTAGACCCGTGCTAATTTACTTTAAACAGAACACAGCTCTGACATGAAACACAAATGCTTGTCCTTCAGAATTTCTACAAGAGTGAAAATTCTTCTCAATTGATATGCAAACCTATTTCCCTAAATGCTTCCACGGAGACTTGCATGTTTATGCATCCTTCCACACAACAACAATCGTCGAACTGACCAATCAGTTCATTACAATTCGTCTGCCATAAATAATGCATAAATGTTTCAGATTGGTGTTCAAATCTCAAATCTCAATTTTTTATACTTTCTTTTCTATATATCCGTCCTAGCCAATACAATCTCTTGCTGCATCCTAGTCATTATCCTCCTCAGTACCTAATCAAATCATCTATAAAATTAAAAAAGTTCTATAGGTTGTCATTGCGCATCTTCTGGAGACAATCCTCCAGTCAGTCGCACTCGGCTTCAGTCTCCTCGCTTGCGCGAGCAAGCACATTATCATTCCACCCATGAATGGCCGGCTCCACATAATCATCATTCCAGGAACTGTCCACTCTACTCTTCCCTGCATTTCTTGCTGTGGATCTTTTAATCCGCTCCTTTGTCTCAACCTCTACATAACTTCTCCAGAAAGATTGATTCCCACTTCAAGCTTCTTTCTTAACACATCATAAACCCCTGGTAGCATATCCATGGATGATGCATAGTATTGCATAGCTTATGGTTGCATTCGAAGTTTTCCGCGAGCTCGTGTCTCAAATTTCTGTAAAGCGGTTTGCTTTGCATCCCACTACTTTTTGACGACAGAAGGAAGGTAGATTTCACATTTTTGAGTGGCTTAGAGAAGATGGGGGAGAGCCCGGTGGATTATTAGGATGTAAGGGTAGCTATTTTTGGAAGTATGATCGAGAACTACAGGGTGCAAGTGCAGGCGGGGTTGTGAGCGGAGTTTAGATTATTGAGGAAGGAGATGAGGGAGGGGAGGGTATCGATGGTTTTGACCTAAGTTGATCGAGGCAGAAGCTTAAAATATCAAGTTTGAGGTAAAGTTGGATTTGATCAACTCATATTTTTACACAGGAAGCGGGAAGAGGACTCCAACAGGTTGGTTCTATAGGCTGGCTGGCGCATGTATGTACGTTGCCGCCAATAGGTTTCCCACATTCAAAAAGCAAAAGAAAAAGCAAGCACCTCAGTATAAGGACAATGCTGTCTTGGCATGAGAAGAGAGATATGGAAAAAAAGAGGGGAAGTAATAAAAAAGGATGTATGATCTTTTGAGCCGAATCTACGTCTTTTTCGTCAACTCCTTATCTCCATAAAAACCAAAGGAGGAATCTAATCCATCCCTAGCATCCCCTCTATCGACCGTATCTTCCACAAAAAATTCTTCGACCGCATCCATAACAGCACCTCGAACATGATTTCCATGTAATCCTGCGGCATCTCGGTCCCTAAGCATCTGATCTTGTTCCTGAAAATGTATAATGCTAAACTTGAGAAATAGTCTTGGTATCAAATCACGTTGCTCTGGGGTTCATTTCCTATAGGCACCATGACGGGCGAAAAATTGCGCGACCAGATAAAATAACCTGTCGGGTGCAGCTGGGTTAGCTGCACAGGCGATTTGAAAGATTTGTCGCCATAAAAATCACCATTGATATAATTGTGAGTCGCGATATGAGAGAGAAGTCTGTACATATGGTCGATAGTGACATTTTGGCAATGTGGAATCATGAAAAAATCTGCAAGGTACCAAATGTGTGCAAGTGTCGAAAGGCTTAGACCATCTCTGTAGCTTTTTTCAAGTGATGCGGATGTGCAATTGCTGCAGTCAGAGACAATCGTGTCATTAGTGGCCTTGGTTGGTATAATGGTCGAGCCGGTATTCACATACTGTTAAGATGTGACGGAATAACTTGAGGTTAGCCTCCGAACATTCAACTAACTTGTGGAGACTAAAATCATGTAATTCCAATTGTTGATCGAAGACTTTACGAACTAGACTGAATTAGATTGAAGAGCTAATGGTATAGAAGTTTTAATAGCATTTAGAGGATGGGTACATAAAGTATGGAGAATGGTAAGCCAGACGCAACTTTGAGATATGGTATACTTTGGTGTCTGGCGCATCTGGAGATCTCGTTCCCAAGCAGGTGAAGGCACCACTGTTGTCTTTCGTGTAATCAAGTATTGGTCTTTTGGGCCAGCCAGAGGGTGACGTCTTTGAAGCCATTGTGTTTCAAGATGTCAGACAGTGGAAATGATAATCTTACGGTTAGTTTCTGTAATTTTCGATGGTGTTCCGATGAACGATGTGGTTTAAATATTGTGTGTGCGAAGGGTCAAGTTTTAAATTCGCTTGTTCAAGCCGTATCAGTATTCACGTACCTTGCATCCACTATTCCTGGCCTCTGATGGCTGGTTGAGCTATTCACTTCAAGGCATTACCAGTCCCGGAAGCTCAACTTACCTGAAGGAATAAAACAATCAAAAATGAGGAACAATTTATTCTTAAAACATTCAGATGCACTCTATTCCCCCAAAATCTAATCAAACAGATGATTTCTGTAGGTATAGATTTTCGACCCAAGGATTGACTAACTTACAAGGCAACATGTAAAGGCAACAGGACTTTATCCTGAAAGATGACTGTTTTCCTTCAATATCCCACATACACGCCCCGCATGGTCGTTAGAGCCATTTTTTTTTCCTGCCTCAGCTCACTTTGCAGTTTTCCTATCTCTTCAAATTTTCTCCTGGCGCTGCTGGCATTCTTGCACCTGCCTCGGGTTTGTTTTTGCTTTTGAAGTCATCAGACATTTGCTCAAATGTAACCCATTCAACTCCATCATGTCTGTTAATATGATCAATGATCCTGCATATTGTTAGCGGGCTGTCGAATGTATTAAAGTACTATATCCCGGGGAAATCAAAATGCCAAGAATGCAAGAGAAATCCAAAAACTCCTAGAAAACAGAAAGAGGAGCCATGGCACACCTTTGTTGCATCTTCAAAGCATGTGGTCGCCCTGAAACATCGGGATGAATAGTCATAGGGAATACGAATTCGTCGTAATTCTCGTAAAAGTAGTCGAAATGATCTAGCCACATCTGTTCTACGACTTTCGGGTCCACCCATCCGTGACTATTGGGTGACTTTTTGATAAACATCATGGGAGGTAAGTCATCAATGTACCATGAAGCTGGAATTTCCACCATACCAGATGGTACACCCTTGACAAGTGGCTTCATCCACTCTTCTGCCTTCTTACTATAATCGATTTTTGTCCAAGTATCTCCGAGCCTTAACCAATACATCTGACAATCATGATGGCTCATACTATGATCATATTCAATTCCGTAACTTAGTAAAAGTTCCGCTCCTTCTTTGCTTGTCTCCCACCATGGAGCAACACTTCCCCTTGGAGGTTTTCCACAGAAATCTGTTAACAGCCTGTACGTTTTATCAAGAACATCTCGTTGCTGCTCAAGCGTCATATCAACGGGATTTTCATGAGAGTATCCGTGCAGACCAATCTCATGCCCTGCGTCCCGGACCATGGCGCATTCTTCAGGAAATGTCTCGAGGGAATGACCTGGTATAAACCAAGTCGCCTTCATGTTGTTCTTCTCAAAGAGCTTGAGAAGACGACGAACACCGATTGTGCCAGCGAATAGGCCTAGATAGTGTAAGTTTGATTGTTCAAGAGTCAATAGGAGAACGGGAATAGCTTTTCTTCAAGAATTGGAGCTTCAATTCTCGCAAGCATTAGATCACTCCTGGTAAGAAGGATTCACGGAAAAGAACTCGAGAATGAAAATAGAAGACAAAATTGTTATGAAATACAATGACGAACCTCTACTGATGTCTGAGGTCGAGTCTTCTCCACCATATGAGCCCAGCCATCCTGCCACGGCATCAATATCAACTCCATAGCCGCAGAGAACGCGTTTCTTGGCTTTCCTGGTCATTTCTGGGGTTGAGGAGGAGGGGGAAGCACACATAATTGAGATCAGGAGAACGGATAGTTATGGACTCGGCAGAGAAGAGAAGAGTGAGGATACACAATCTATGTAGAGAGTTGCACTGCTGGCGTATATTTCGTAGTCAGTTATGTTGCCCCAATGGAAATTACTTTGGCATTCCGAAGTGCGGGGAAGCTCCGATTATCCCTCTCGATGAGAACATTCTGATAAGATTTGTATGTGTCCCGATTGATAAGAGGAATTGATTTACCTTCCTCATTCGTCAAGAGGAAGGCACAACGGCCGAAAGCATAGGTAGAATGCGAGTCACATGATGAGGTTTCAACCTTTTGGCGAGCTCTTGGTGGCTCAATGAATTCATTGATGAACCCTTGTTAAATGCATGTGATTGTTTGGGTGCACTAAGTGGACTTATGGATGCCAGTACCAATCAATCGTACTAAGGTCCCTGCTAGATACTCCGTAGGTATTCTAATTTTGAACAAGATCGCAGCATCGCATCGATATCAAGGTACGAGCGAAAAGAAGCTTAGAACCAGCTTGCCTTAACGACATACGGCTTACCCACGTTTCGTTGATCAAATCTCATTCTCAGAAGGACAAACTCACCAAACAGCATCAGTCTTTAAGCCAATGCTTGGTTTACATTGATTTCATTCATCTTGAGGCTCTAGAACCATATTAAGCGCAATCCAGCGACCCAACATATCTACGAAGCTTACGAAGTTACGACAAAGTTGACATTTGGTTATTCGCGTTGCAGGGCACTGACACCCTGCGGTGCAGTTGTATCTTGGGGGGGTAATGAAAGTCGGATGAATGCAGCCCTTGAATCCTTTCCTGAGTGCTTTCTTCAAGAGTGCTCTGCCTACACAGTGTACGCCTGTACACCATCATGTAAGCTTGCCAAAAATACTAGAACTCCATTTTCAACAACTACCATGGGGCACGATGCTGATAGCTTTCTAGATATTACTAGTACCTACTACCGAAGTCCTCCTAACCTCCCGCGATCGAGAAACCGGCGCGCTTTACGCAGACCTTGCAGGATCGGAAGACTTCCTGGGCAGTCATGTCTTGCGAATACCGGCCAACCATGCTGCGACCGCGGGAGGGAAGGATGCGCCAAATATGCGGGAAACCCGGGGAAAGGCAAAACAATATACAACTGTCAATGGAAGGACTGTCGTGATCAAAGATGCTTTTGTCTACAGTAATAAGGGTTGGTATTGTTTGTAATTTTGTTGGAAGATTGGTGCTAATATCACCTATTGCCAGGATTCAAGACCTTGAACCAAGCGCAACTTTTATCTGATACTTTATGGTACCCAGATTCGCTCGAACCACGGCAATGGCTTGTCTACTACATATCAAGACCTCTGGTTGGCATATTCGAGGAAATCAAGATCGCAACTGCAATGCTAGCCCCGAGGCTCCCGGATGGTAGGCCGATGCTCCCACCCAGATCGCCTTCAGTAGCGGACTCCACCTCTATGAATGGACTTCCTCGCAAAAAGGATATAAAGAGTTTCAGCGAGCTTTTAACGAATTTTCCGATGATTGCGAGACAAATGCAACCCGGATTGGAGGCCCTCTTTAAGGAGTTCAATCAAGTATTTGAAAAGCAATTACCTCCTCCTCCATCAGCTGCGAACATTCCAGACCCTGTCCCGGACGGGCCCATAGCTACAGCAATGAAGAAAGCACGGTCCAGTAGTTTCTCAAATCCCGGTCGACCAAATGGGCATGTGCAACGTTATGTCGTTGATTTCTATACCGAGGATGATGAGAATGTCATGCGGGGCGCTTTGGAGACCGCAGTTACGTCTGCGATCGATCTCTTCCAGATGGTCGACAAGCAACAACTTTCTCTGCTTGGAGCTACGACTGATCTTACAGGCCCAATTGTGGAACGTTTGATTGATCGTTATGTTACCGAGCAATTGCACGATACCATATTATTTCCGAGACTATGTACAATGAAACGCCCCGAAGACTTGGAGTTGGAATCTAAAATCAGACAGATGGAATTTGTGGATATCTCACAAGTTGGTATACCAATTCAAGGTGGTCATCAAGGAAAACATGAACTCACATTACGCCTTGGTCGTGCTGTCGAAGAATTTCGAAAATTGAGTGTAGCAGGAAGCCCGCAGCAGATGATGGATATTTTACTTGTAACGTTGAAAACGGTGACGCAGCTCATTGAGATTCCAGCGAGCACAGGGGGGCCTACTTCTTCCGAGAAAGTGAGCTCTGTTTTGACCATCAATGCTGATACTCTCGTTTCGCTACTATTAGTTGTGGTCATAAGGGCACAGGTTAGATACCTCCAGGCTCGCCTCCTATATATGCGCCACTTCATTTTTGTAGATGATGTGGAAAGTGGTGAGATGGGATATGCACTAAGCACGTTTGAGGCCGTCTTATCATATCTTGCAAGGGATTCAGGAGGTCTTCGGAAAGCTAGCCGGCGGAACCACAAATTGTGGGCAGCAACTAAGAAAGGCGACTTGAAAGAAATGATGAAAATTATGGAGCCAGAACGAGAACTCTCTTCGGACGAGGAAGAATCTGACCACGAGGAAGCTATCGCAGACGAGATAATCGATGAGAATAGGCCATGGGATAGTTCAAATGGACATGCCAGACGGAGATCTTCTGGAGCCGCTGCCACGAGGCTTTCTCAAACATCTACCCTCACTCATGTCTTTCCTTGGCAATATCTACATGACGGTGCAGATGAAGAGCGACTACCACCGCTGCGGAGGCCTAAAACAGTCACCATGGATGTGCGAAGTTTATCTAGTAGCTCCGAGATATCTTTCAGATCACGCGCTACCACGATTGACTCTACAAGTAGCGGCATCGAAGGTGATACGTCAATAGAACGATTATCGCAAACCGAGGATTCATCAGGCGAATCTGTTCCCATGATGGCCGTTCAACACGAGAGACCGGAAGCTCTTCAGTATCTTTTGTCGTTACATGACTACTATCCGCTACGAGCTGTTCTTGAGGATACGAATAATGAGGGAACAACCTTATTGAGTGCTGCTGTGCAGTTGGGACATACCGAACTCATTAATATAATACTTGATTTTGTTTATCGAGCTGCATCAGAATTGATCGTCATTGGATATCTTTCGCGGCAGGATGTCAACGGCAGGAGCGTAGCTCATTTTTTGTTCAACTATCCGGAGCTTATTTCGAGAGTCGGGCGTTTATTGCCCTGGAGGCAGAAAGATAAGAATGGCCAAACGCCACTTTTTGCGTTATGCAGATCATACGATCATGGACGCTATAGACCCATGGTAGAGGCAGCAATTGCTGCAGCTACGGCTTATCAGGGAGATGGTCAACCTTTACACTTAGACGATCATGTTGATTTGAAGGGCAACACGCTCTTACACATTGTCAACGATCCTCAAATAGCATTACAACTTCTTTCTCATTGCGACTCTGATGTTAACGCGACCAACGAGAAGAAATTCACACCACTCATGGTAGCTAGCAAATATGGTAGACTAGAAATGGTTCGAGCTCTATTTTCGGATCCTAGAGTAGACCTTTTTGCTAAGGAACTTCGTGGCTTGACAGCGGTTGAGCTTGCCAAAGATGATGACGTACGGAATAGAATTGACGATTTAATTTTATTCTCAGGGTTACCAGCCACTGATGGAAGGATCACGGCTGTAGTTAGATCATTTTTCGTTGAGGATGCAACTATTCGATTGGTACTCAAATCTGGCGCACCCTCGGGGCCTCAAAACTTTACCGTCACCACTTGTCGACGTTCGCTGTCCGACTTTGAACATCTAGCAAAATTACTCACTTTAGAAAACCCAGCTTCGTGGCTGCCATCTATATCAGGGATGAGGTCACCTTTTCAAATTCCTTCAAAGCCTTCGAGGGCTGTTCTAAGAGATATCCAAGTCCATCTTGATGCATTTTTGAAGATTCTACTAGCACATACAACCTTTTCAACACATGAGATGTTATGGGAATTCTTTCTGGTACCAGATATACAGGCAGAGATGATGGAGCAAAGGTCTAAGCTGAAGGCTGAGGCAAGGGTAGAAACAGTAAGGGAAGAATATCAGCCAATCGGTGATGTTCGCGATGTCGAGCAATTCGTAGATCATGCAAGAGATATGGTCCGAAGTGTCAACTACTCTACCAAGAGTGTAGCACGTAGGGCCAATATGGTGGCGATTGTCACCACGGGTATGTTTCCAATAATTCTCATAGAATATGTCACTAACTTATACAGATCTTTACGATGCTTATAAGCTTTCCACTCGCGCAATTTCTACCCTTACGTTCCTTCCTCAAACTCATATATCTGCTCTTGAAGCTTATACCCAAACACTTGCTCCATCATCCACTTCCCCATATTCTACCTTCCATACAACTATCCTTTCAATCCACAGCACCATAATCGCCATGCTTCTTTCTCTCTCGCGTCCCACCTCACTCATATCATCGATCACTACATCCCGCAAATCTATCGAACGTTCCTACAACTCCCTTTCTCGATCAACTCGTTGGCCACTAGGTCTTCTTGATGAAACTCGGCAACGTTTAAACGAAGAAAAGGAAGACAAAGTCCGAAGAACAAAGGAAGAAGTCGAGGAAACTGGAAGGGAACTAAGATACACACAACAGGTCGTCGCAGCAGAGCTGGCTGGTTGGCAAGATTTACATGAGAAAATGGGGAGGAAAGCCGTGAAGGATTTGGCGCAAGCAATGCTTGTTAGGGAACGTACGACATTGGAGGGGCTAAGAAGGGCGGTTAGAAGATTGAAGGTTGGGGAAGAAAGGATTATAGATGTTGGAATGGAGGAAAGTGAAGATGAGGACGAGGTTGGGGAGACGGAGGCGAGTGGTAGTCATATTGAAAGTATCGTTATGTAGTTGACACATTAACGGATCCACAAAGAAAAGATTCTTTGCATATCAGCAATGCAGGAATGGAAATGACTGAAATGAAATAGCACACTGTGTTTTATTTTGTTTTGGTTTGGATAGAATTATAATCATGATCATGCTAGGCGATTGTGGCATGGCATGGCATAGCGTGGTATGGCATGGTATGGCATTAAGATGATATGATATTACACTGTACAGCATCGTGGCGTTGAGGCATACATATAATCCTATGAGCGGTATTTTTCTACTTATTGATTCATGATTTTTGAATTGGTTTGCATACTGTGTGTTATGTAGTGTGTTCCCGGGTGATTGATATGTTCCTTGTATTGTAAAACTTGCTAGGTATGTCATGGCGAATTCATATCTTCTCATCTATTATATTTCTATATCTGGATTTATATATTCATATATTTGAGTATCTTGAATGAGTTGGGTGGGATGATATGATATGGACTGAGATTGAATGATAGGTTTCAATACATATCTATTTTAAAGATCTAGATCTAAATCTAAATCTAAATCTAAATCTAAATCTAAATCCCATGCTAGATTCCTATCAAATACTACCTAGAGATAGATATAGATATACAAATACAATAATTCTAGATCCTAGATACCTAGTTACTATTCAATAAATTTTATTGTATTAACTATTCTAATTCCTCTATATAGATAGGTACTATAGGTATAGTATCTCGTGCCAATATACCCATCTTATAAATCCCATCCATTCATTCTATTCTATTTTATCAAATGCTATGATACTACTAGGTAACTCCTATAACTCAACTTTAACTAGGTATTAAAATTAAAATCGATAAATCGACCAATGAATTACACACATCCAATTAGTATGAATAAAATTCTCTATGCTATATAAAAGATATTAGGTATCTATAATTTCTTTCCACTCGCTAGCCAACTTTCCAAACACCATCATGATATCATTATTAAACCTCCGAAACAGAAGTATTCAACTTCCCTACAACTTCTCTATCCCACCAACTCTCAAAGTCTAAGACTACTTTATCCTTTCGCGCTTCTTCAGCTGCGAATACTACCGCGTGACTTCTAATTACTTCTTCTACTATTATTTGGGGATTTATGTGAGTTTTTGTGAAATTTTCGGTAAATGAGAAAAGGTAAAATTGAAGGTAATAAAGAAAGAGGACAAAAACTTACAGCTACATCCTACCCATTGCCTCTGCGCAACTTCTACATCTGCTCCTTCATTCATAACACTATTCACAGCTCCTACAAACTGTCTCACTAATCCTTCATCACCACCTCCATGTCCACTCTTAATATCCGTGATTTTTGGCTCATAAACTTTTTTCTCTCCAGTCTTAAAATCCTCGACTTCAATCGTCGTACTATCTGCGTATATTTCCCCATCGCTTCCATAAATATGTGTATATCTTTCACAAATCTTCTTCGTATGAGATACCATATGGAATGAAGCTTGTTTGGCCCCGCGATTTAGAGAGGGATTCGCGGGAAATGTCATGGTTACGAATTGATCATCATTGACTGTGTTGTCCGATTCATAGACACAGCGCCCGAACCAATTCTTAGCTTCGATTTCAGAGATAGGGGTTTCGGCTGTGTAGTCTTCAAATAGAATGGATAGGACAGCGGATTCTGCGGCTGAAGAGCCAGAGGTGGTGAGAATATCTTCGATATCTGGGACAAGAATATCGACAGGCCAATTAGTATTGGGGGCTTTGAGACCCTTGAATTTTGGGGATATGTATATGTCTTTCGCGGAGTATTTGCAGTCTGGTTCAATGGGACAGGAAAGGCAGTTTGTCGCAGTGCCAGCGGCTCTAGGTTTGCGGGTGCGAGTAAATTGCTGAAGAGAACCAGTGGATGTTATTGTTTCGGGAAGATGAGGTGGAGCGGTTGGGTCTGATGGGGGAGGAGAACAGAGAAGCCAAAGGAGGAGATCGATATCGTGGCAGGATTTCGTGAGGAGGGAGGGAGCTGTTGTGGATTCTTTGCGCCAATTTCCACTATCTTGTTATTAGCTATCGTGCCTCCTTTTTCATGGATAAATATCCCATACCGAACATAACTATGAGTAAAATGCCACCATCCCACCGGCTCAGTATGATTAATACTCAGCACATCCCCAATCACCCTCTCCTCCAAAAGTAATTTCCTCAACATCATATTATGCGGACTATACCTCAATACATGTCCAATACTAAATATTTTCTCCGGCAGTCGATTCCGTGGATATTCCGGCAACATCGCCCTATATATCTCCACACAATCTGCCAACGTCGTAGCCAAAGGCTTCTCACACATAATGTGCAATCCCAATGGTTTCAACCCCACTATAACCTCCTTATGCATCTCATCTAGCACACATATAAACGCGGCATCGACACCTGGTGGTACGGATTCACCGCGAGAAGCCCGAGCGCGTCGATCGAGTTCATATTCGAGAAATTCTTTCCAATTGGAAAATGATTGCCCGGGAGAAGGTGCATTAGAACCCCAGATGTAGCGGGAACCGAGCCGTTGACGTTTGTAGGAGATAGGTTCTGCGACGGCGTAGACGATGCCAGGAGTAGATTCGTCGACGCAGCGCGAGTATTGGGAGCCTCGAGATCCGGCGCCGATTATGAGGATGCGGGGTAGATTTGAGGACGTAGTTGTAGAGGGGTTAGTAGGGACAGATGCGTGTGGTGCCATATCTATGGGTTATGATTGGGATTGAAGAGCTATAGTTTAGCTTGGGGTTGGGAATTTAGAAAGAAGATATGAGATACCAATTGAATACTCGAGTGGATAGATATTCTTGCGAACTTGTAGTGAGTGCTCAATTGGTTGCACTTGTCAACGGCAAAGGTTTGGAGGGTTAGCACAGCATGTAAATGCTTTACTCATCCTCAATTTCCGAACATATTTTGGTAGTGGAATAACCCAAAAGACATCTTGCGATAAGCATTTTGATATAGTTTGTAGATGTCAAGCTTGTCTCTGCATGCAGGGCCTACTAGGACCCCTTGCCCCGCGATAACAGGGTGGGGAAAAGTAACGTTACCGGGTGTGGACCAATTATATCGAAGCAATTGGCATTGGAGAAGATACCAGCCATATTCATATCTTTTAATCATAGTAGAAGAAGACCGATATACCTCAAGAATATGCCTTGGCGCTTCAAAGTTCCAGATCAAGAAAATGGGGGACAGCTGATGAAGATTTCTAGGTAGAAAATAACTACGTTACATTACGGCGTTTTTTTGTTGCATATCTACACAAATTCTGACGCAATACAAGACATTAAAATGCAGGGGCTTTGTAGGCAGTTCATGTACATCACACTTAGATGGTATCTAATAGATTAATACCAGATTAGATGAAATTTTGGTATCACAAATGATATGACACCAAAGATTAAGCTTATGGCTGACTACAAATTATGCATGCCTTTTTCACGGTTCCCCCTTTCCCATGCAGATTCTTCCCCCGCAGCCACCTCATGGCAGACGGCAGGCGGCAGCGTGAATTTCCAAGCCCCTGTGAACTAGGTGCAGTGCACTTTGCATTCATGTTTGACAAAAAGTGTTGTTTCATGCCTGCCATTTCCTAGCGTGCCGCTGAGTTGTTTCCTTACACATAGTCCCAAAGCCGCCGGAAAGTTGGCATGAGGTTCTCTTCCCATTCAGCAATGATGATTCCTAAATGTGCCAAATTCCCATGCAAATCTGCCAAAGGCCAGGGAATAATTCCACATTTATTGTATTGCGTAGATTACCAAATACTGTCTCTTGAGATGTCGATATAGAGAGTTTGATTCCAATATTCTTTATTTTGAAAGTACCTGCACCAGAGACAAAATTTCGGGTCCAGGTTGATGTTGAAATCGATTACTCGAGAATACTGTCAAGAAGTATGTTGCTAGCTGGCTTGCTCAGCTTGCCTGACGGAATTTGAAAATTGTTCTTGGTCAATCATAATGTCCTAGCATACCGAACCTCGTATATCTTATACCATCCACTAATCCTACGTTCGACAAGTTCTCTCATTGCTTCAAATGTCTAACATTTATCTTTTAGATCATCTCGGATATCAATTTCATCAAATTCAACTCGGGGATTTCGGTTGAGTTTGCAGTAACCTCCATACTTATTAGTTTTGTGGGCGGTCAGTACAATGGGAGAAGACCAGCTGTGAGATGCCGCCTTTTTATTGATAGTCGCATAAACTACATTCCTATCACCAAGCTTGCGATCTGGCTGTTTCAAAGTTCCAAGATACACACCTGGTTTAAATAATGGATCTGACAAGCCATGATCTTCACCAGGGGTTTGGAATGGTGTGTTTAAAACACCGAGTGGTGTTGCAGGTCGTGGGTCGGTGAACACATCGTGCGCGGTATTGTCGTATGATCCTTCCGAGGAACTTATCGCCACCTCCTGGCCTGGGTCAAGTTCTTTTGGTGATAGACATCTTGCAATTCGAGCAGCTACAGGTTGAGTAGAAGGCTCGAAAAGTTTTGCGGAATCGATAGGGAATTCAGATGGAGAGTAAGTTGGTGGAGTATGTACCTTTGACGGCGCTGGAGGCTTTATTTCCTTATGGTGAGGTGGAGAAAATTCGAGATCGCTGGTCAAAGGTAGGAAATGATTTTCTAACGGAAATATGCTATCTTCTCCTGATATCTCCACCGCATGGGATAACCTTTGCAATATCTCCTCTTCTGGCTTGGCTCGGTCTAGACCTTTAGGTTCCAGGGATGCCATTGTGGGCCAACTGGAAGAGAAAATAATGCATTATTGCAGTTGATGACTGGAGAAGATTTTGAGAAGCGTCTCATGTTATGGCCCTTGATATCGAGATCGAAATTGGGGAATCGCATGTTGTCTTTATGAGCTCTACAAGCATACAATAAAGGATATTATAATGCATGAACATGACATGATCCTTGACCATCTCTAGCATGTGCAAATTGAACAAAGGATATTGAAATACATCATTAAAAAGTTACTTGGGTTGATTGAGACTTCTCAAAAAAACTTACGATTCTTCCATGCGCTTTCGAAGAGGAAAAGATGATTGGATGCTACCATGGATATTACCGCACCAAGTATATCTGTGGTGTTATTCAGAATCTATTGTGATGATCTGAATACTGGGAAGGGACATGAAGTAAGTGTCAAGATACTTCGTACTGATGCTTATTGCGCCAGTACCGTACAAATCTCGAGGAACAAAAGTGTATACTGATGCTCAATAATTTGTTTTGATGCTTGTCAAACATGTACGAAGTAAGTGGAGAAATCTTCTCTTCGCCGAATCTCGGGTGCTTGCCTTCAAACTAAGGCATCACTTAATATCACATGATATCTACCTCGCTTCTCAGGATCTTCCAATTCTCCATCCGAACCTCCCAACGACCTTGAGATCTCTAATTGACGCACTTCATACCTGTCAAGATGTTCACACAAACTGTCCGCGCTTCGGTATGCTATATTCTCAGCTCAAAATGTCAAAATACTAACCACCAAAGCGCTCTCAAATCGCCCGCGTTGCGAGGCAGCAAATGATCAGCAAACGAACTTTCATCGTTCCTACTGCTGTTCGTCGTGGTATGTTTGATAATTTTGTTTAAAAGTAGCATTTAGTCTTTAAATCACTGTAAATGTGGTCGAATCTATTTGCAGCAATATCTGCCACTCAGAAGCTAATTCCGATCAATAGCGGACCTTGTCCAAGATCTTTACCTTAAGGAATTGAAGAGTTACAAAGCTCCCCAAATCAAGGCCTCCGATTCCGAAGGACATGTTCTCAAGTTCTCCCCACCTAAGGCTCCTACATCTCCAGAAGAAACCGACATTGCAAAGGAATTGGCAGCATATGAGGCAAGCACAGTTGAGGTAGAGGGACAAGCTGAGGGAGGAGTTGAGACTAAGGAGGTTGATTGGTTTGAGGAGGAACCTGAGGAGGAGGCTGCACACCACTAGATTACGAAATGATACCGAGATGAAATCTTTAAGTTACGTGGTAGAATAAAAGTTGCGGATGCGATGAAGGTGCGGGGAATGTGTAGACATAGCGAGGTAGAATGAAGTCCGGATTGTACAGTCATTAAACACCTAATTCGAAAGAAGAATCGATCGACTGGATAATCACTTGCAGCATAGGATGCTCTTGTTATATGTCCAGAAGGCAAATTATGAGTCTCTTCTTGAGAAGTGGATTGGCTACTAGGTGTTTGTTTCGGTTCCCTCGCATTTAACATGGAAGACTTTCAAGCCAAGTGGCCGGAATGCTTAATGCTCAACGTCTCCGGAATAAAGGCCTGGTTGAGTTGTATAAAAGACCATTAAATTTATCTGTGGAATCATGTTTCCGCACCCCCACAATGTTGGCCACTTCCTCTCGTGCAAGAGTATCCCCGCGACTAGCTTGCACGGGCCTTTGCGGGGACTCTACCTAAGTGCCTTCTCTTCTTCTCCTCCTTTTTGACCTTGCCCAACATTACTCCGTCGATCACCTCCTTTCTCGGTATTACTAGACTTAAAAAATCCTTCCACGTTTGCCGCCCGCTACGACAATATCTTATTGGAATCCTGCCCATCCTGAGTGAAGCTTTGGGCTGCTTAATCCCAGTCATTGTTTGGTTCAATCACCAACATCTACCGGAGCAGCTTTCTTGATACTTTTCCCTTCCAATTCATATATCTTTCCCTTCATACTCGTACCATGCAATTCAAACTTTCCAGGCTCCTCCAACTCATGGGAATTAGCAGTTGTTTCTAGCTCCACCGCGTTCCTGTCACTCCACATCTTCCATGGTGATGTAAGAGGTTGCTCATGCTTATCTCGGTGATGGATATTTATATATACTATCACCAAAACAAATAAACCTAAGATACCAACGACAATACCAACTATCATATGCATTCGTTTCTTCTCACCGGAAACTGGCGGTGTATTGGTTGAATCTTGCGGTGCGTTGGTTGAATCTTGTAGTGTGTTGGTTGATGTTGCAAATAATGTAGGATGTGTATGTCTAGTGCTATTTATCATGCTTGTGGCTGTACCCGAAATCGATATTGAACTAGAAATGCCATTATTTCCCAGCATACTAGCCGAAGTAACCTTTCCAATTTTCGTTGAGCTACTGCTGTCGCCACCTACACTAGTACTACTCATGCTAGTACTAACAGTGAGATCTGGGTCTGGTAACCGGGCCTTTTTATCAATGCTGTTACTATCATCTCTCTTAAGTACTGCAGCATCATTCACCCAAAAAGCACCTGAAAGTGTCTGGGTTCCATCACAATCGCTCAGAATTGCCCATGGTGGAAAATGAACATTATTTATATCGAGTCCAAATGGTACAGTCCATTGATATTCTCCAGAAGATAATGGAACATTTGCTATTGTTTTGAATCAGTCTCGACTCTTGATACATGAAGATGACAACGAACAAGCTATCTCGAGTATCAAACCTCCAATACTTGAATCAGAGATCATACGCATCAAAGTGAATTGGTAGTTCCATTCTGACCAGAAAGCCATTTGATATCATAGTTAGTACCGGAGAGAATGATTTGTTTTTCAGTTGGTGTGATGAGTTGGAGTTGAGTGGCATAGTTTGAGCGAACTAACAAACAAAAAATCGAGAGGAAAACACAAAAAATGTGAAGATGTGAGATCATCGTGATGTCATGTGCCATGTATAAACCGGAAGAGACAAAGTTTACATAAATGCATGCTATTATCTTTGGAAAAGAATTAAATGGCTCTCAGCATTATGATATTTGTGTCACCATCGAACCCAGCCCTTAAAAGGGAGTCAAGGCTGGTGGCTTCATCCAATGCAAGATGAACACTTTGACCCCTAACCAATAAAATACATTTATATGGCCCAGCGAAATTACTCATGATCTATATAAAACCACAATTGCCCCCAAGCCTTCTCCGCAAGATGTTTAAGGCAACAGACCTCAAATTGTGATGAGTACTGGATGTATGATTGGAAGATATTAGCGGCCACGCGAAAGGATTGTTTCACATATTAGAGGATGAAGGAATCTCTACCCATTAAAGTGGCGGAGTTTGACTACAGGAGATAGGATTATAGGCACTGGAGGAACATAATTATAATTCCGTATATTTCTGCATACTATGTCGTGCTGACAGGAGGTAATTTAACCAATTTAACATTATCTTTCTCCTATCTATTCATGTTATTTTTGAATTCTGCAGTTAGTGGTCAGCACTCGTATCGAATTATTGATATCGCGTTTCCAAGGCTGAACATAGGATAGAGTAGACCCAGACTTTATCTAGAGTATTTTTAATAAAGGTATCATTCTGTTCTAGCTCCTGTTCTAGCTCCCCGGAATAAGATATTACCCCTCAAAATCTTCTTGAATAATAATAATTATTTATATCATATAGAATAGAAATCTGAATATCTAATATATCTTTTAAGTCGTGAGGAAATTATAGATTATATAAGATATTAAATACTAGGGTTTTTTTTTTTAAAAAAAAAAGTAATACATAATTATAAGATTGAAGGGATTTTCACTGTTGATATCTGATTATGTGCTGTAGGTTTAAATAAAATTCATTCTCAAACATTTTCTATATAATTTTCCTATCTTATTCTCTCCAACCCCTTACCCCTCAGCCCTCTACACTTCCAAACCTCCAAACCCCTCGTCCTCATTATACAATCCCCTCAGTTCTGTCCTTTCCCCTCCCTCTCAATCTCCCTCTCAATCTCCCTCTCAATCTCCCTCTCAATCTCCCTCTCAATCTCCCTCTCAATCTCCCTCCTGTGCCTTTCCCCACCCCCTCCCCCCTCCCCAATCCCACACCCATCACCTCATCCTCGCTAACTCACTCACTCACCCACCCACTCACTCATCCTATAAGAATCACATTTTTCTATAGTAGGTAGTAGTAGTAGTAGTAGTAGTAGTAGTAGTAGTAGTAGTAGTAGTAGTAGTAGTAGTAGTAGTAGTAGTAGTAGTAGTAGTAGTAGTAGTAGTAGTAGTAGTAGCAGCGTAGCAACGAATTCATCAATGCTAGCTATACTTTACAATTTTCTCTTTCTCTCTCTTTCATACGCACAAGCACACACACACACATGCACACACACACATACACACACGACCATCCATCTTCACATCCTCACATCCTCATCTCAAAGCTCAAATCTCAATAATTCATTCATTCATTCATTCATCCATCCATTTATTCATTCATCAAAATATAAATAAATATAAAAGGCAGATCATGCAAATAATGCGCACGACCACGCAATACAAAAAAACTCCATTGCAATGCAATGCAAAAAAAAACAACAACAAAGAGCAAGCTATTAAGCAAGCACCACAATCAATAAAACCACATCCATCAAAATTACGCCATATCCATGCTCTCTTACCACTCAAAATGTTATATCATCATAAGTATGTAAAGGTAATTCAAGTAAAAGTTCCCGAGTCGTGTATCAATCAATTATCTCCTTCAATCCATCTCAAACTCATATCGTTGTAAGAACCAACTCATGAAATGATGAACTAGTAAATAAGTCCATGAACATAAAACGTAATAAAAATATGATAGAATGCATGCACCACGCCAAAACCCTTACTCCCATTTCGAAGAAAAAAGAAGCTGATTCATAGACCAAGTAATGAAAGAAAAATACTGTATATGTATGCGGACACAAAAATCATGTCTGCATCAGAACCTTAAATACACGAGATGAGGTCATATACTAATGAAGGATTAATGAAAATCATCACCATTGAACATTCGTTCATCTTCATTGGTATGATTCCTCACTACTCCACTCATTCGATCGGAACGTTGTTTATCGGGAATATCAAATGGATCCTCCCAATCATGTTCTGTTCTATCGTCTTGATCCATTCGATCATCGTATTCATCTTTGACTCTATCTCTCATATTCTCTTCAATGGAGCTTTCATCAACGAATGTGAACCCCTTAAAGTTTGCTTGCATTCCTGGAGATAATGGTGTTGAAGTTGCCATACCTGCAGCAAGGGCAGCTGCACGTGCATTGAGTGATGACGCACCATTTAAGGCATTGGTGAATTCTGGATCGAAGTTGGATGTATCCGTCTCTGACTTCAACTTTGGCTTGAATGGAGGAGTGATCAATTTCTTGGTAAGAGCATCCCAATCAATATCAGAGAAGAAGGGATGTCTCTTCAATTCTTCAGCATCATCTGTAGCTCCAAGACGATGCTTGGGGTTTCGGTTGAGTAGTCCTTTGACAAAGTTTCGTCCTTCGGTAGTCAAAGTGTCTCTGGGAAATCGAACTTTACCAAAAGCAATGTTTTTGTACATTTGTTGTGTATCCTCTGCGTAAAATGGACTCCAACCACAACACATTTCGAAAACCAAGACTCCTAAAGACCAGAAATCAACCATCTTTGTATACCCAGCTTCATCCAAGAGAACTTCAGGTGCGAGGTATTCAGTAGTACCACAGAAGGTATTAGTTGTGGCATTCTTGGTTAAATTTGCTTTTGATAATCCAAAGTCGCACAAGGCAATGTGGCCATTGGCATCCAATAGGATATTCTCCGGTTTCAAATCTCGGTAGACGATATCATGCTTGTGAAGATGTTGAAGTGCTAAGATGAGTTCCGCAATGTAAAATTTGGCCCGCTGCTCATCGAATCTTCCCTCTTTCTGTAAATGCCAGAACAATTCACCTCCAGACATATAATCCGTAACAAGGTATAGATCTGTTGGCGTTTGGAAGGAGAATTTGAGACCAACGATAAATGGAGAATCGGCTGTAGCTGTTCGGACCAGAATATTTCTCTCACCAACCGTGTGCGCAACCTCCTTCTTTTGAACAATAACCTTCTTCTGAAGAACTTTCATAGCATAAATTCGCTTCGTGTCCTTCTTTCTCACTTGATAAACTTGCCCAAAAGTCCCTTTTCCAATAAGCTTTAAAATCTGGAAGTCGTCTGGTCCATAGTGTCTCTTCTCTGTTCGTTGAAATGAAATTTCGACATGGATTTCACCTACGCTTCCTGCATTGAGAGTATCGTCCTTTCCATGTAGTTGAAACCAGCCGGAAACAGGAGAATCAGCATTTTCAACAAGATTGGCTTGAAGATCAACATGACCCAAGAATTCCTCTGCTTGTTGAGCTCGGTCGTAAATGGTGATATTGACTCTTGTATCAGAGCCAACAACATCACTAAATATTCGTTAGCCAGATGGATCATAAGCCATGCTGTTAAACCTACAAGACAGCTTCAGCATCCCACTTCGGGTGAGTGAACATTTTTCGACCTTTGTTCTTGAAATCTCTATATTCCGACAAGCTGGTGTTGCTGCTTTGTCGACTTTTCATAGGAATGGCCATAGGGCGACCAGAATCACTTCCGGTTCGCGTGATCGGAATACCGCCAATTGGGATTCCACCAGGGCTATGTGAATTGCCATCATCTTCGTCATCCTCTTCTGATTGCGGACCTTTGGATACCAACTCGTTTCGTTGAAAAACGGCTACCACGTAGGGATCCAAGCTCTTCCTCAATCCTCTAGCTTCATTGATCTTCACAGTAAGTTTGCCCTTTGGTGGTCCCACTGCTCCTCCGATGCTACTATCTGCTCTAGAAGTCACAGCCGGTCGTTCGCTCGTACTTGATTTGTCATTTTGTCCGTTACTGGTTTGTGCAGTATGGTCAGAATTTGTGCTCGCAACACTTTGGTCTGACTTTGAAGTTTGATTTGACAAAGCTCGAGTGGGCGTTGATGGTGTGCTCTTAAATCCGTCACAAGTTAGCTTCTTGAGTCGATCATAGGATGGTGACTGATGGAATTCAGAATGCAATCGGGATAACGGAGGAGTGCTAAGTTTGTGCTCGGAGGGGGTATCGCTTGGATTTGAAAAATGTGTAGCATGAACATTTGATGGAGTAACAATATTTGACAATGGTGTCATAGACGAAGCTCTTCTTGCATGTGACGGAAATGATTCCGAAATGCAATCTCGGTCTGTAGGAGCTGTCGTCTTCTGTACATTATTGCTAACGTCTTCAAAACTCGCATCACTCAATTTCACTTTGTATAGTGAAGATGGATGAGAAACAGGTGGTGTCGGATAAGGGTGTTGTTTGGATATTTGAGAACTACCCAAAAGCTCATGAGATTGGAGTAGTGGATTTTCTCTCTCTACTCCAGAATCAATCCCAGGTTCATCAATTGAACTCGGGTTGACTTTCAAACGCGCATCACCTGTTTCAGTTGTCTGTCGTGGGAAAGAGTAACTCTCAAAGTCACTCGGGTTAGGATATGATATATGTGATGATGTATGTTTCGAAGGATTTTGACTTGAGTAAGAACCTGAACCAACCTGTCCATAAAAGCTATGCAATATACCAGGAGTTCGCTTGTCTGACGGATCTGGTTGTGGGGTCGCGACACCGGAGCGGGGTGTATCGGAATCGATGTGATCACCTTCATCATCTCTATTGTATGTGAAATTAGCCAAGGTAATATTGATTTGTGACCAAAGGTCATGAAGTGAAGGCATTGGAAATCGATGATGGTGAAGTGATCATGTATTAAAATAAATATTAGAGTATTAGAGTATAGAGGAATGAGAAAGATGTTTAGAAATAAGCAATAGGAACTTCGGTTTGCTTCTCCTCTCACAGACAAGCAAGCAATCAAAAAACCCTCAACCAATATAAAAATTCTCTCTCTTGTGACATTTTTTTTCTTCCTCTTGCTTGTCCTTCATCAAGAAAAAAAAAGGTTGCACCTGTACGCCGATTGCCGCTTCGATAAGAAACTCCGATTACAACCGGTGCCCCTCGTCAACTTTGACGTTTAGTTATTCAGCATGTGCAAAATGACATTTAGATGAAAATGAAAGTGGAGTGGAAAGAAAGAGACAGAAAGAATGAAGGGAAGGAGTAAATTGATTTGTCCACATTCCCTTTATCCATGCTTTGTCTTTTCTGCCAAAGCACGTCGTTGTCCATCTTTTTTTAAAAGAAAACTCTCCCATTTGAAAACTCCCATTGTATATTTATTATGACGACAGAGTGGAGGAATTGCGAAATCGAAATTTTGTAAGCGTACCTTCCCATCATTGCTTGCGTAGCTTGCCTTAGCAAGTCGTGTTCTGATCCTGCCATCCTCTTATCTTTTTACAGTCTGCGAAGACTGTCTGCTGCCAATATTATAATTATGTTGAAGTTTTTGAAGTATTTCGTGGCGGTATGCACTTTTCGTGGATGAAGAGGTAAGAAATTCGTCGAGACTTTGTGGAAAACGGGGAAAATTGTAGGTATTTTTCTTTTCTTTTTTTGGGCAGGTACTCGACAGGAGGTACTTTTTAATGTGTTGATATCGGTTCCGCGGTAAGTTGATCGACAGGTAGGAAAGGAATAAGATAGGTATTTTCGACTTCTTCGTTACCGTATGTATGGAATTTCGGATTTGGGATTTGAAAGGACGGATTGAGAAATGAGTCGCAGTTCGATGGTATGGAAAAATAACACTTTTGAAAGGTTTTCCAAACCTTTTCTTAATATTTTCCAAATCCTGATTATTGAATTGAAAATTAAGTTTATGAAAAATCTTGATAAGAGGAAAGAGGGGGAAAAGATTGGAACCAGTTCCCTCTTCTTGAGTCGATTCCTTAAGCTTCAAAACCAAATTGTACCTAAGGCTGTCCGGGCGAAGGCGAAGTTCGAAATAAGTTCCAAATAAGTTTCTCGCGTATTTTTTTTGGGTTCGATTTCCTTAGTCTCGATGACCACTGGATTTTGCGTCGTGCCAGTTCACCAATTGTTTAACTCTTCTTGGAATATATGAGGCCAGCGGAAAAGGAGGGCGAAAATTCCTTATTAGTTTCAGCCGTTAGACTCCAGTAGCACTCTTAGCACTTCACTACACCGTACTTGGGGCGTGATTATTCGTGGAAGCGATTGAATGGGTGAATTCCAAGGTAAGTAAGTAGGTTATCCTATTCGTAGTGTAATTTAACAGATTCGACGGGATCGTTCGACTCGTTCGACTTGTTTGATTGAGGGAATGAGGATAAATAAGTATGGTGATAGTAATAACAGTTTGAGGTGAAATGAGGTCCCCCGATGAGATGTAGGTAGAAGAAGGAAAATGAGGTATATGTAGGTTGGTGAGAATGGTGGAATGGATGGGGAATAGATAGAATAGATGAATCTCATAAAACAAGAAAAAGAAAAGAGAAAAATGTAATAAAAAGATGGGAATATCTCTCTTTACATATTGATACTGATATTGGTGCTGATATAGATACTGATATTGAGACCGAGTAGATAAAAGCAAGTGAGAGATCCAATATCAGGTATCAAGCGTCAAGCGTCAAGCACCAAACGCCAGGTATATCAGAAGTAAATCAGTAGAGAAGGTGAAGGCGAAGATACTGAGTGGAGTCTTTATGGGGTTGATGATGATGATGGATTGATGACAGCGCAGTCGGTCGTCCAGCTTTGCTCTTCTAATAAAAAGGAGAGAAAGGGTCTGGCTGGTCTTATTATGATCAGGGCTCTCACTTACTCGTGTATATCGGTATTTGATTTGAAATAAAGCATGAAAATAGATAGATCATATACATAAGTACATAGAGATACATTGTAGCTATAGGTTGTAGTTGAGAAACAGACAAGAAATCGGGATACCTCCTTCATCTAATCTTTCTTTCATTCCGAACCTATGATATTCGATATATTCATCAACATACAACATTCCTTTTGATTTTCATTTCCATCTGTGGTGCTACTGGTCGTCCCAGGAAATATTTCCAAGCAAATGTCCCCAGCCATTACCTGAAAAAGAATGCCCTCAACCGTCCATCGTAAATCAATAAATGATAACTGGCAGAAGGAGGAAATCTTACATTACACACTTAGCCTTTCTTGACTCGATCCAAAATACGTCATATATCACCTACAGAGTATATGTTACGGGGCTTCATCGGGTGGAGTAACAGCGTGAAGTGGTAGCTACAAGCCTGCAACAGCCCTGGAATACACAAGATCATTAGCCCACAACTTGTAAGGTTGGGAGCTGAAGTGGCCTCTTTCGTCAATATGTACGTGAACAGGAAAGTCGGTAGAACATCAATCACAATCCCTACTAGCTATCTAGCTTTAGGTAACGCGATCTTGCCAATTCATATATTGTAATCAATTCATATCGGACTTATCGAGATGCCCCGATATATCTATCTGTTTATCGCGTTACAAGTGTTGTTATCCTGATGTAGGTATCGAATATCTATCCATCTATTTATCTACCTATCTACAACCAAAAACCTTCGCATGTACATCATTCAGCCCACACAAGATGAACATCTTTGTTCCCCCAAATAATCCACGAATTGCATCTGCATCCTAAATTACTAATGCACCCTACAAGAAAGCTGACCTAAGACCCTCAAGCGTAAGATCATGTCCTCATCCAGGGTTCCGTATTATTTGGGACCCGTCAGCCTGCACCGAAAACTGCAATACTACATGGAATTCCTGCAGTATGCCAATACCATATGGTAACTACATAAGACATACTCCGTATTGATAATTTGATAGTCCCAATACCCAACATCAGCACCCTCAAGCTTCAATTTCTGCTGGCCAGTCAGATGGTGGGGAAGGGAATGAATCGAATGTTTTCTGCATTGGCAACTAATTATTCTATTTGGAATTCTTGGAACAGGTATTCGGTAAAAGGGTATTCGGTAAAGGTTCTCCAGTAGTACATACATACGTACATACTCCGTAAAACAAATCCCTTCAATCTGGTTACTTACTGTACGGAGTGAAGTATTTCAAGAACTGGTATCCGCATGTTGTGACCCATAAAAATCCATGCCATGCGATGCGAACATATGAAGTTCCGATGGGAACTCGCATTACGCATTCATCAAGCACAGCTTCCTTCGTACAGAATCTGTCCTTCATCAGTATATTTTAGAAGCCTCGTTGCATGTGCTGTACTCGTACATCCATCATCTACTGTTACTGTTGTGATCCTGATGTGGAATCAAAGAAACTGCAAAGAGTACGAACGAATGGTTACAAGTTTCGATTCAAGATACGAGGAAGAAAAACAAAAGTCCAGGTGATTCATATCCGCTTTGAGCCGAAACTTATTCCAGGGTCGGCTTCATCTCCTTCATCTCATGCTTCTCATCATTCTCATCATTCCGCCAGTGCTTGTAAATGCTTGTGAAAATCAAACCCCAGTACTCCCTAATTGGAGAATAATTGAAAATACCCTACCATGTGATCTAGATCTCACCGTGGCCGTCTAAGACACCCCAAATGGTAAACAGGTGCAGCGGGAAAATGATAAAGCTGGATGAAGGGGCATCTTGCTTGGAATGATTTCAGTCACGTGATTAATAATCTATTTAAAGGTTAGCCCTTCTCACACGTACTCTGGGAATTTGTTGAAGCGGCCGACTTTCACTCTCGCGTCGCAAGTCGCGACAACAAGCTCACACGCCTTCAATACATTACAACTGCAATTAATTGATTATTGAAAATACCTTCATCATGGGTAGACGACCTGGTAGAGCTGCTGCGAAAAATGCTGCTGCTGCATTGAGTGAGTTACTTTCACCATTTCAACTGGCGCATAACATTACCTACAGACAATTCTAACTTCATGTCTTATTCACATAGAAAACACTCCACAAACCTACGATGACGCCGAAGATGATCCAATAGTCGATGCACCACTGTCAGATCCCGGTACACCTCCCGAAAATGACGAAGATGAAAATGGAGAAGAGGAAGAAGAGGTCGTCGAATCAGAAGCCGAAGAAGAAGTTCCAGCTACACCCGTTCCGGAAACCACCATTCGTAAAAAGCGATTAGGAAGACCTCCAAAGAATAAACCTCCAGGGTGGGATTTAGATGATGGAACTACTTCTGAGGCAGCTACACCTAGTCGAGGAAGAGGTAGAGGTAGAGGATTTAGAGGTGGTGGAAGATGGGCTAGAAGAGGTGGTCCAAGTCATGTTACACAACAACCAGTTGATAAGGAGGGAAATATGATGGACGTTGTGAATGATGAAGTGGAATTACCTGAAGATCCAGAAGGAGAGAAAAAGGTTGATAAACTTGGTTATTTACAAGATGGTCGGGAATATCGTTGCAGAACTTTTACGGTTCATGGCAGAGGAAAGAGACTTTACATGTTATCAACGGAACCAGCACGTTGTGTAGGATTCAGAGATAGTTACCTTTTCTTCGCGAAACATAAGAGGTTGTTTAAGATTATTATTGATGAGGATGAGAAGAGGGATATGATTGAACGAGAACTTATTCCTCATTCTTATAAAGGAAGAGCTATTGGAATTGTTACTGCGAGATCAGTCTTTCGCGAATTCGGTGCTCAGATTATTGTTGGAGGCAAAAGAATTACAGATGATTATGAGGTTGCGAGAGCTAGGGAAGAAGGAGTTGAAGAAGGTTCTTTAGCTGATCCAAATGATGCAATTAAAGATGGAGAAGCATATAACAAAAACCAATACGTCGCATGGCATGGAGCAAGTTCAGTATATCATTCCGGTCAACCTACTGTTCCACAACAAACTGGAAAGTTGATTGATGGAAAGAAGAGAAAGATTATGGTTAATGATGTTAATTGGATGTTAGAACATGCTCGAGAAGCTAGGTATGTTATCCTCTTTTTCATATCATTATGTGAATCCATTACTAATATATTCTCAAAGTCGATTCAATTCCGGAATCTCAGCAGCTCGTCGTCAAAATCTAAATGGTATCTACGATCCTCATACAAATATTATGCAATACCCACGCACTATGCAACCAACTCATGCTCGTTGGGAACAAATAGACGACAACGAACCACAATCCTCATCCACAGATTCATCACTCTTTCCACCCGTCAAACCTTTCTTTTCTAGAAATCTCATGATCGTAGATACATATATGGAATCATCACCATCAACACATTATGGTGTTCCAGGTCCAGATGGTGCAGGATGGGATTTGGGTATAGGTGTAAACGCGAGTACAAATGCAGGGACAGAAGATAATCTTTTGGGTATGGATGGTTTATGTGGAGTTAGTGAAGATGTACTGGATGTTTTACCAGAAGATTGTAGGAAAGCTTTTGAGGAAGCGAGAGAGAGGGAAAGAGAATGGAAGGGTAGATGGAATACTGAGGGTGTAGATGGCTGTAGGAGAAGTGTTAAGGTTGATAAGGGGTTAATTTTGTAACGAGGAGGGATGTGGATAGAGTAGTGAAGCGAGCTATGATAGTAAGGAGATAGGGGGAAAGTGGGAAAGAGGGAAAGAGCACAATGGTTTAATGGAAAGGAAAGATAGATGAATTATGGAATTAGCATAACCAACGAACTTAACTAAATGAATCTGGATGAAGGATGGACGGATGAATAAATGGATGGATCAATGGCGTTGGGAAAATATTATCTTTTATAGGATATTAGTGGTCCTGTGATCGAAAGGAGGAGGGAAGGAATGAAGGAAGGAAGGAAAGCATTAGTTTATTTCATTTTATCTTATCTTATCTTGGTAATATAAGAAAGATATATTTATTTATCTGTCTGTCTGTTTAATCTATCTGGTGTATTGATCTTGTACTATCCTTGTTCATATATTAGTTTTTGATTTTTGATTTCTGATTTCTGATTGAGGATGTGTATTGATTTGGACTTTGGAATTTGGACTTTAAATAAAATTGTGTTTTTTATAATCTATTTTTTTCTCCTTTTAGTCTTAATGTATTGATAACTTGATAGCTTGATATTAATTACTGTGATTTTGGAAATGGGATATCATTTGTTGTTTTTTGGGGGAGGGGGGGTGGTTTTGTGATATGGATTCTGGTTTTGAGGGTTTGAGGGTTTGAGGGTTTGAGAGTTGAGGTGTTTGGGGGTTTGGGGGTTTGGGGATTTGGTGGATCTTGAGGATTTAAGGGGGAGGTTAGGGTGAGCCTGGGCTGGGTTGGAGTTGGGGTCGGAGGGAAGGATGGGTGTTTGAGAGGATGGGGCGGTAGGGGGGGTGGTATGAGAGAGGGAGGTATGAGGGTGGTATAGAGGGAGTATAAGGGAGGTATGAGGGAGATATAGGGTAAGGATGTATGTAAGGCGGGGTAGGTAGATAAGGATTTATAATTTAGATATATATATAATAGAAAAACATAAGAGAATAAAGGTATAAAAAAGATATAAAGAATAAGAAGAAAGGTATAGAGGTAGATAGGTTTGTATATAGGCGGTAGAAGTATAAGATAATAGAGAGAGGGGAGAGAGAGAAAAAGAGAGAGAGATATGAAAACCCGTTTAATTATATATATATTTCTTTCTTGATAATTATACTTTTTCCTCTTCTCTTTCTTGTTCTCCATCTTCTTCTACCCCTCTCTTTCTCTTCTCTTCACTATCCCTCTTATTCCCTCTATTCCAACACATCACTCTTACAAGCCCTAGTATAACATCCATCATACATCTAATATATCAAATTACAATCGAGATACAAGAAACAAAAACTTTCATATCATTCCTTTTTGTTCTTTGCTTTTTCATCTTTTTTATTTTCAAAATCAAGAATACATACTAGCTGTCTCACTGATCATGACCATAATAGTCATCCTGAAGTAATCTACCAGAAGCTTAAGGATTATTGTAAGAAGAGGAAATAAGATGGTACGGTATGATACGATATAAAGAAATTAATATATATGTGATATGTTTTGGTTAATTATAGAATGGAATGGAGGCGAGGATGGAAATTAATAGGAGAAAATGTAAATATCTATCTGGATAGGGGGGGAATATGGATGGGGATGGGGATGGGGATATTGGGAGATTTTGAAGAAGATTCCAAAGAAGAAGGTTCTAAAGAAGTAGATTCCGGAAGGTTCCTAAATATTGAAAAATCAGTACCTAACCAATTTCTAGATCTTCATCTATTATGAAGGGTTATGACTAGGTGTACATGTATAATAATAAATAATAAATAATAAATACTTCTTACCTCTTCCTCAACTAGATACAAGTTAAAATGCATGACATATACTTAACTGACCGGATAGCTCGCTGGAAAATGATTATGTGATGATATCTGTATAAGTCATATAATGCTTTTATTATCTATTTGCCGTGAGAGAATATATGATGGAGATGAGATGATGTTTCTTTTCACAGAGACAGGAATGAGAAGAATAAGATAATTATTGTTTGTGACAATGAAAGTAAGTATTTATGCCCATGACAGAGAATGAAATAGATGAGATAATTAGTATTTCACAACTAAATATTTATCAGTCTGTTCAACCTAGTATTATTGGGAAATACTTCGATTTATATCTTAAGGCTTATATACCAAGGATGTATATTTTATAAAAGAATCACCCAAAACTTCCCTCCGTTTGGATTATACAAAAGTTTGCTGTAATGGATGATCCGTCTATACACTATCTAGCAACTAGAATCTTCTTCTTTTAGACCCATTAGAGGAGATACACTAAAGAGGTAATAATAATTAAACAAAAATAAACTATAGGACTAATTTTGTGATTATAAAAGCCGCTCAACCTCTGCAGTTGGGGTAGTATAAGGAGAACTTGAGAGATGAAGGTAAAAAAGTTTTTTTTATACTCCGGATCTAGTTGCTCACTCATTCCCTGTCTATCCATATCCTTTCGAATGTATCTCATATTTATACTAATATTCTCGTTATTATAACTATGAATCCTAGTACTCTCATTGTTGAAGTTATTTTCATTGTCAGGATACTAACTCCTTCACTGTCAATACTAATACCATGACTGATGCGTAAATCCCAACTATAACCTCATCAAGTAAGAGCCTATATATTATACATTCCCACAACTCCCATCGCAATATAATACACAATAACCCAACAAAAGAAATTGTGACGGAAATCCCTGCTTTCCTCCCACCTTTATTATATAAGAAACCTCAGGTACATTAACCATGTCCACACATGATACGATTACTCGAGATTAGTATGCGATTTAGGTGACCTGAGGATCAGATCCGGACAAGTACTAGGTATCAATGGTTATCGGTAAAGTAAGATCATTGGAGGAATAAATACGACTTCTTTTTGCCTAGCCATTGCGGCTAGGCCATTCATTTGTGTATATATAGAGTAGCTATCCCCATCTACAGGTGCTCTTCACCTGTAGATTCTAAGTTAAATACAATTGCTGGTCTATAAACACCCTTTTGGTCACAGAAATACCTTAATGCAGAATACATGAATCTTAAAGTATCACAAAGAATAAATTGTTATCTCCGGGATCAATATATATATATATATATACCCTCAAGAAAAGATTAATTAGCCCATACTCGAATCTCACTTTCCTTCTATATATACCTCCACCTCTATCTCTACCTCTATCTCCATTATTATATTCACTCATAAATTGATATCAAATCTAATACCCACCCATTCACTCACTCACTTCTCTTCTCTCAAAGTTTCATCAAAACTTTATCTTTCATTCTCACTTTCTATTACCTCGACTCTGTAACTAGTATAGTACCGTATGTCAAATCCAATTCTTTCATTCCCTCAAGCCCAAATCCTAAATCAATAGCTATAATTAGATGATATAAAAATATACCTATAAAATAACCAAAAAACTAAACCTCCCTCTTCCCCCTTTCCCTCCCTCTCCCCAATCTCTCTAAACACTCCTCTCTATTTAAATAATATATAATACACAACATAGTAATTATATTAGATATTATATATATGTCAACCTGATACCACCCCCTACTCCTCCGCCACGAAATAAGAAAAATTCTCATTTCAACTCACCTCCACTCCAACCAAACCCC